GTCAAAAGTTGTCAACATATTTTACCCCAAGAAGGTTTCAAAGGAGGTCCAGGTGATGCTCACTGCAACTTCTCTTTCTCCGGTTTCTTTTTATCAGTGGTGGAAGCAATCAGCGCAGAGTCGTGATTTTGGGATTGAAACTTCAACGCATCTCATACGAGTTCATGTGGTGCCACGAATGGGTTCTTGCGATCCAAGTGCATGGAAGACACCTAGGAGTGATTTGCATGAGAGTTTGATGAAGGTTCTAGGTGACAGGTGCGATGTTGAAGCAGTGCCATGCATGAGTGAAGGGACTCTCAAGAACGAACATCACATACCTGATTGGAAACATCTCACTGAAGATGACATGGTTGCCATCAAAAGCCATGGGCTGTGGATCGGACGCAGCCGTTTTCCTCGAAGACCCCTCACGCCTGGGATCGAGAGCTTTGCGACCCATGCCTGCAGCTTCGACAGTGCAGTCAGTATGGAAGATGGGCAAGGAGCAGCTGACACGCGAGCTGGTGGAGCATGGAGTGGTGGTGCACCCCAATTGGACGGTGCCGGAACTGAGGACCACGGTGATGGAGCAAAGGGAAGCGCTCAACCCGCGCGCGGACAAGAACGACAAGCTGAAGGGGATCACACAGCTCACCCTGGACCAGCTCACACAGAAGGCGGTGGAGGAAGGGTTGTCATTGCCTCCCCGACCAACGAGGGGACTGCTCATCCGCATGTTGCGGGAGAGCACACAGCAGGAGTCGGACAACGTGATGTGCTTCGGAAAGTTCAAGGGGTGGCTCTACAAGGAGGTGCCACGCGAGTACATGAAGTGGGCGGTGGACGAGACGGCAGCCAACTCGAATGCATCGGAGGATCTGGTGCGATTTGCCACTTGGGCCAAGGAGGAGTTCCAGAAGCAGGACAAGGTGGTGTTGGCGGTCAGGAAGCCGCCGGCGAACAGGGACGACCCGGAGGTGAAGGCAAAGATTCCGCCGCCCGACATCGAGGTGATGTCGTGGGCCTCGGGCTCCTCGGAATCACATCGGAGCTGGAGATCCGGGCGAGTTCAGGCGAAGAAGAAGGCCGACAAGCGCCGGGTGGACGTCATCGAGGTGACGGAGGACATGGACAGCGAGCTGTCGGAGGAGGCCAGGGCAGAGATTCAACACATGGAAGCACAATTGGCGGCCCTCAAGCAGAAGCACAAGGTGGTGTCGGGACCCCCTTGCAGCGTGTATTCCAAACAATGAGGGGGCTCTGGAATAAAGGTGAAGGGCCAGGCCGCTCCGGGGTTGATGCGCCTACTGGCCTGGAGGAGAGGCCAGAGGGCTGCTCCCCCACCGGGGTCGACGGGACGCCTGTGGATGCCATGTCGGCTTCCGCGGGGAACCCTCCCCCAGGGGTTGACGGGACGCCTGTGGGTGCCGTGAAGGCTCCCGCGGGGAACCCTCCCCCTCTTCGGGGCGTGGCGCCATTGATTGGTGGCCCCCCGAGGGATGAGACGCCTGTGGGAGTCTCGTCGGCTCCCACGGGGAACTCTCCCACAATGGAGCGTGTGCCAGAGCCCGAAGAGGAGGTGGAATCGTATGACATGGGCAGTGACCATGGGAAGTCACGGGGCCATGGTGGTGGAGACCAAGAGCTGACGCCTAGAGAGAAGGCGTGCAAGGGCATTCAAATGAGAAAGAAGCTCAAGGAACCACTGAGGAAGAAGGTTTTTGGAATGTCCAAAGCACTTTTGCCAGTGCTCTGCACTTGTCTTATCTCCGCAAGCGGCTTGGCGGAGGAGGTCTTTGCGGAGCCAATCTATGACCTGTGGAATGTTATCAATCCTATGAGGGGATCTTCCAGCCCGGGGTGCTTGGAGATCTTTGCTGGCCGTTGCACCATCACCGGTGCTTTTGCTGACAAGCAATATGGAGTGCTGAGGCCCCGAGACTTGAAGTTTGGTGATGACCTCCGATGCAAGGAGACCCAGGAAGAGATCCTGGAGACCATCGACACACATCGACCACGCCTGGTGTGGATGTCCCCACCATGCACTTTTTGGTGTGGCTTTTCCAATCTCAACTACAACCCACAACAGCTGAGGAGATTGAGGGCCCGAGAGAGGGTCTTCTTGCGCTTCATCGACCAAGTCATTTTGAGGCAGAAGATGTATGGAGGGCATGCGATTGTTGAAAACCCTCGCAAGAGCGCCATGTGGAGAGAACAACTCCTTGCGAAATGGTTGTCTGGTGGAAGTTGCAGCTATGTTGATTTGGAGATGTGCGCATTTGGCCTCCTGGACACCAAGGGAGAGAACCACCTGAGGAAGCCCATGAGATTGCTGGTGACCGACAAGGCCTTTGCTGAGGAGCTGCAAAGGTGTTGCCCAGGTGATCATACCCATGTTAGAGTACAAGGGTCCCAGACAGCCCACTCAGCTGGCTATCCTGAAGATTTTGGAAAAGCTGTGGTACGGGCCTTTGAAAAAGTCACGACCCAGACCGCATATGTTCAAGATGACGGTGGTGAAGAAGCCACTGCCAAGGAGTCACTGGGTGGGGGAAAAGACATTTCTTTCACCGGCAACGTCAGCGGAAGGGTCGCTGGGGCTTTGCGGAGGCTGCATCAAAACCTTGGTCACCCGCCAAACCGTGAGTTGGCGAAACATCTCAGGCTGAGTGGGGCATCGCAGGACTTGATCGAAGCTGCGTCGGGCCTCAAATGTAGGGCATGTGAGAAATGTGCTCGCCCCCCTTTACACCCTGTGGCCAAGCCAGCCGCCCTGCTTGACTTCAATGAGGCCGTTGCAATCGACATCATTTTTCTGGACAATCAACAGAGCAAGGGCAACTTGGCACTCAACATGGTGGACATTGGTTCGTCTTACCAGGTGGTGGCTCCACTTCGGAATCGCAAGTCGGACACCGTCTTGCGGGTTTTCCTCAAATACTGGGTGAATTGGGCAGGGCCTCCAGGCCGGTTGGTCCTGGATTTAGACACTGCGTTTGCCGATAGCTTTGCCGACTTGACGTCGGACCTGGCTATCTCTATGAGGGCAGCTGCCGGTCAGGCACACTGGCAGAATGGGATCGCCGAGAGGTATGGGAGCTCCTGGAAGTCATGCTGGGAGAAACTATGTGTGGCAGAAGGCATCAGAGATGAGGATATGCTTGATGCAATCTGTGCAGTGAATGATGCGCGCAACTCACTGCGCAATAGGTCTGGCTTCAGTCCTAGACAATGGGTCTTCGGGACAAATGGCCGTTTGGTGGCGGATTTGGAGGATGGCGGCCATGAAATGAGCGCCCTGCATGCGGTTACACCTGAGGGGCGCATGGCACGAAAACATGCGCTGAGGAATGGTGCCCATATTGCCTTCTTCGAGGTGCAGGCTTCTGCAGCAGTCGAAAGGGCGCTGGCTCACAAAAACCGCACCAAGCCCAAAGAGTACAAGCCAGGTGATTTGGTTTACTACTACCGCCAGACCAAGAAGAAAGGAAAACAAACCAGTGCAATGTGGATGGGTCCAGCAGCCATCATCGGCCAAGAAGGCCAGAATTATTGGCTAGCGAGAGGAGGCAGATGCATTCTTGCTGCCCCTGAACGTTTGAGGGCAGCTGAACACGAGGAGGTCAGCGAAATCTTGCGCATCAAAGCCGCCATCAAAGAGGTGGAGGGCGTCTTGGAAGAGGAACAAAAGGACTATGCAGACCTCCGATCACCACATCCGGAGGGCGCTGGCGATGTGGAAGTGGAGATGGAAATTGATGGCATCTTCGACGATGAGGATGAGGAGATGCCCACAGCTGAGGCGTCAGCCAGTAGCTCCCGCCATGAAAAGAGGAAGAAAGCTTTTGAGAACGAGCAGGAGCTCAAGAAGGTGGCACGGCAGCTTGGTGCGCTTGATGATGTTCCAGCGAGCGTCAAGTCGTCGCTGAAGGGTCTTTCTGCTGCCACCACTCCCGAGGCACCAGGCAATGTCAGCTTTTTAGTGAAGAAGGCCAACTCGCCAGAAGGCTGGGAAAAGGCTTTGGAGAAGGAGATTCCCTGGGGCATGATACCTGAGTCTGAGCGGCATTTGTACATTGCCGCTGAGGAGAAGCAATGGAAAGAACACCTTGAATTTGGAGCGGTCAAGCCCTTGACTTTGGAAGAAAGTGAAAGAGTCAAAACTGAGGTGGACCCGGCCAGGATACTCCCGGCCAGATTTCTCTACCGGGACAAGCATCACGCCAAGCGAAAGATTGATCCCAACATAGCCTGCAAGGCTAAAGCTCGACTATGCGTTGGAGGCCAACGGGACCCCGATTTGGGGGTCAAGGAGATGGAAGTGGATGCGCCCACTGCAAGCCGTCATAGTTTGCTTTTGGGATTACAAGTGGCGTTGGTGCGAGGCTGGCTTGTTAGCATCGGAGACATCCGGGCAGCATTTCTCAATGGTGTTGAAGCCCCAAGAAGCTTGTTTTTCAAACAACCGGTGCGTGGGATTCCAGGCTTGCAGCCTGGTCAACTCATTGAGATCCTGAAGGGGGTCTTCGGCCTCTCGACGTCCCCAAAGCTTTGGTGGATACGTTTGTCTTCCGAGTTGACACAGATCACCTTCCGGGTTCATGGGAAAGACTATCGGATCATTCAGAACGACATCGACCCTTGTGTTTTCCAAGTCCTTCGAGTTGATGGCGAAGGGCATCAGGTTTGTGGTCTGATCTTCACACATGTGGACGATCTGATGGTCATGGCTGACCCTGCAATTCAGGGGTGTCTGGAAGCTAGTATCCAGGCGCGATTTCCTGTTGATGAATGGGAGCGTGATCGCTTTGACTACGTGGGGTGTGAATACCACGTTACCAAGGAGGAGATCAACATCACTCAGACGGGATATGTACAGTCCCCGACTCAACAAAGTGAAGATCCCAGCACATCAAGCAGAAACTGATGTGGTAGATTCAGCCACCAAAGAGCTCAATAGATCCGTGGTGGGATGCCTGTCTTGGTTGGCGAAGCAAACCAGGCCTGATCTTCAGTTTATGGTTGCGCAAGCACAAAAGAGTCAGGCCAACCCTACTGTTGCTGATGTGAAATGGACCAACAGCATTGTGGAGTTGGCTAGGAAGTTTCAGGACAAGGGCATCAAGTTGAAAAGGATCGATGAGAGCCAGCTTTGTGTTTTTGGTTTCCACGATGCGGCTTGGGCCAACGTTTCTCTGGATCAAGAAAGTCCTGACGACGTCGTTTGGGATACCGACTGCAAGAAAGCTTCCCAGTTGGCCTCACTTGTGATGATTGGCGACCGGAAATGTCTGGCCAATCAACCTGGCAACATTGGGATTGTGGACTGGCGAAGCAAGTCATCCTCTAGGATATGTCGTTCAACTTTTGCTGGAGAAACGATGGCGTGCAGTGACGCAATGGAGTCAGCCATCTACCTGCGTGGACTTCTTCTGAGCTTTTTGCATGTTGGGTTGGTAGATAGCGCGAAAGCGCGTGAAATGATTCCACTGCATCTTTTTACTGATTGCCGTTCTCTTTATGACCATTTACGCAAAGATGGAGTGCCGAAACCACCGACTGAGAAGCGGCTTGCGCTTGATTTGGCGGCAATGAGGATGGAGCTCAATGAAGAGGGCAAAGCGCAATGGAAGTTGCGCTATGGAGAAAGAGCTGAACTGAGGCCCGATAGGCCGCGACGTCCTCCTCTTCACTGGGTTCCAACTGATCGCCAATTAGCGGATGTTCTCACCAAACGAATGAATCCCAGCAAATGGTGGGACCAAGTAGCCAGTGGCATTTTACAAATTTCTTTGAGGGTCTGGGACGATACACAAAACATATAGATTTTTGATCAGTGTTGATGTCTCATGACCCATGTTCCATTTTGCACTTTGCAAGGTGATTCAGGTCCATACATGTGCAACACGCACGATTGGGCATGCCGGATATAGGCACAAGGACTTTTCCATTAGCAGGAAAACATTCGTTTGCATGTCGCTTTGCCGTTGCATCGCTTTGACTTGAACATCAACACCCTCTATCTTAAGACACCCAAACTGAAGGGCCGAGATGGGCCCCCACTGCATGTCCGAGGCCTCTCTGGACAGCATCCTCTTGGTGGAGGAGAGTTCCCACTGGTTGGAAACCATGGTGAACCAGCGACTCTGATCCATGGGTCTGGGCCCAGAAAACACCATTCAGAGCACCCCACTTTGAGGCATCCTGAGTTTAGACCCATTCGCCATTCGCTGACCTCATAGAAAACATATCTAATAATTATAATGCACCATAGGAAATTCCTTGACAATTCGATGCTTTTGACTAAACTCACCATTTGGGATTCCAGCAACATGAAGGTTTTTATCCCATCACTCCACGGCTTTGTTGTAACCATTTCGCCCACTGAAATAGGTCAAGTTTCAGGAAGTCGATGTGGATGGCATCCGCTATGGTGTGTCATCAGTCTATCGATTTTTCGATCTCATTGAAGCTTAAATCGCATCTAGCCTAAAGTCCGATGTAATTTCATCATAGTTCATATCATCGAATCATCCAATCTAGTCAAGTCTGATGTCTAATGTGGTAAGATTGGTAAGCTCAATGATCTAATCATCCATCTAATCATCCATTTTATCATCCATCTTATCATCCATCTTACCATCCATCTTATCATCCATCTTATCATCCAATCACCAACCAATGATCAACCTACCCTTTGGGCATGGTGTACACACCGCGAGGACCTCACGAGCCCCGGCGCAGCTCCTTTAAGACGGGCAGCACTGGAGGCAGGGAGCCGACCTGGGAGCGATCAAATATAGAGATGATACAGATGATAATATAGCAATAGTAATAATATCATTGGACTCATTGGACATCATAGTAATTCCAAATATCATTGGAATATCATTGGAACATAGAGATGTCAAATAAATTCATTGGACATCATAGTAATTACTACTTAGAAGTAGTTAGATCATATTCCAATGATATTCAAATGGTCATTTAACAATCAATTCGGATGATATTCAAAGATATTCAGATGAAGTTCAAATGACAACGCTGGGAGGCAGCCATGAGCCCGATCCATCGATCAACACCGCGAAGGCGGGCCAAGAAGAGCTTGCCATGCTAGGGCCATGAATATGATATTTATATTTATATATATATATTATCTATCTATATATATAATATATATATATTATATATATTATATATATTATATATATTATATATATTATATATATTATATATATTATATATCTTATATATATTATATATATTATATATATTATATTATATATATTATATTATATATATACCATTTGGTTATTTAACATAGCCATGAAACATCACCATTTTTGATAGGTAAACCATCTATAAATGGGCCATCTATACCATGGCTATCTTAAATAACCAGAGGGTATATATACACACACCATATGTGGAATAGTGGTTATCAATGGTTAACATAAGGTGAATAGTGATTAATACGGGTTAATAGTAGTTAATGGTGGTCATTAGACATATATATGGTTATTCATGGTGAACATATGGTTCATAGTGGCTAGTCAACCTGATTCATGGTGATTTGTCTAGGATTATCATCCTCCAGTAGTGAAAGGTGGCTGGCAGTGGAAAATTCCATAATTTATGATAAACAAATTAATCGGTATATAAACGCACACACACACTATATATATATACACACACATGCATGCACGGCAGAAATTTTGAATCTGCATCTGTGAATTATCTATGAAATGAAATCATGTTGGGAACTACCCATACAATAGGGTTTGCCATTGTTCAAACTGGTGAACCATCTCTATCCAAACAGGATGGCAGGTTGTTGATTCTGCGAGCGGCTGCGCCGGAATCCTTATAATATCCGAGGCCCTGAAAAAATCAGCTGCTGATTTCAACATATTTCAAAGTTCTCCAGGTGAATATGACCAAAAGGATGTATAAACATCCCCCTTAACCCCCCAACCCGCGAACCCCCAACCCCCCAACCCCTGAACCATCCTCCTGGACCAGGCGTCGGATGCGGGCCCTGTTGCGGCAGTTGATGTGGCGACATCTACGGCGTGCGGCCCGGAAGAGGCCTTTCCTGGTGGCCAAACTGGGTCTGCAGGTGGTCGTGGGGTGCCTTGACTTTGGAATGGGATTCGATGGCAGGTGAAACTTGAAATTTGTCTCATTTTGTCTCCCTCTCTTCAGCATTTCTATGATGTTTACCACCTTTTTCACTAGGAAACAAAACAATAATGAAATACTGATAAACAATGATAAACCGATCAAATGAATGAAGGCATGCGGCATACATCACTATTAGTTCATAAATTAATATACAGTATAGGTTTTTTGTGGTATTCTTTGGGGGAGTTCCTGTTTGGGTCTCATCGCACGGGCGAATTTCTGTTTGTTGCACCGGTTGGATCATGGATTCGGCGCCATCCCAGAGGGACGTGTGGCCACGGCCAGGGTTTATTGGTGCTTTGGGATTAGATAGCTTTACCCTTTAATGCCCCCATTTCGTTCTGGGGGGGATTGGTTTACCCTCAGATAGCCCACTTTCTTAAAAAAAAACCAAGGGCTCAACCAAGAACTAGGCGAAGCAAAGCAGGGTATTTCCATCCAGGGAGCTAAATCCGGGCACACGACCCATTGGTCAGTGCTGCCCCAAGGACGTTGTTCTCCCGCTTTGTGCAGAAACCAGATGAAAAGGTGAAAGTGCACTGAAAATTGGAAAAACTAGAGAAAATTGGTGGATCTCAGGCTGTTGCTCTGAATGATACATGTTCTGCAGGAAATTCATCTTCAAAGAGGTCTGTTGAACGTTTTTTGTTTCTTGGGCGACCCAGAAATCTGAGATATGTCCGGCTGGGAGGGTGACACTTTGAAACCAGACCCCCAGCCCAGCCATAAACATGGAAACGACGATGCTTTGGCCAAGCCCAATATGGGCCTTTTGGCTATTTTGAACTTTGCGGGTGAGAAATGGGTGTGTCCAAATGTGAGCATATATTCATGTGGAGGGCGCCTCAAGGAGTCCTGATAAATTTACATTTTGAAAGAAACCTATGGGCCTATGGTCTCCAGTTCTTGTTGGACACACTCAAAATAGGCGAGAAGTGGTTTATTCTTCTCGCCGTGCCCAAAGTGTGATGGCACAGCACGAGCCCAGCAAACAACCAGGAAAATGTATACAGTTTTTAAGGGATTGCCGTTGCTTGACTGTTAGTTGCGTGACACCGGCAGATTTTGTTGTGTGTTGGTTCCGTAATTTTGTTTGGTTGAGGTAGGGAACCTAGGCTTGGAGAATCCCCACTTCCTGGAATGTACCAGATTTGAAGGGTTCACAGGCATAGCCATGCGTTTCAAGATTTTCAAGTAGAAGAGTGTCAACCCTGGATTCTTAATAACACAAACTAATTAACCAAGTAACTACTGTGTCGTGTGGGGGTAATTTTTTTCGCGGAAGTTATCACTTTTTTCGGAAAGCCGCCAAGGTAGTCAACCAGGGTTATTTATCCATTATTGATCCATGCTTGATCCAGTGTTATTAATCTTGAGCTGACATCATGGCCATTGGAATTTTCTTTCGATTGGGCTCAGCATTCGAGACGCTGCCCTCCACGTGTCTCAGCCCAAAAAAGGCCAGGAGCTTGGAGCGTGTCTCCATCCCACAGTGCGACGGTGAACTCCAATGTTGGAGTGCAAAAACAGAATCCATCCAAAAATATCCCAAAGGCTGTTGATGGTTGATGTTTCCCATGTATGACATTTATGACATTCATGGTGGAATGCATCGGAATGATCTACTTCGACTGGGCTTTTGTGCCCCGGATCGGAGGTTCGCGTCGGTTCCCATGTCATCGTCATGGCGGTGCGCGACACCATAGAAATCATTGCCCAAAGCCTAGATGTGGGGCTAGATGTGGTTAGTATTGGTTAGTGAAATTTGGATAAATTTGGGAGAACTTAGGATGGTGTGCACTCCGGAACAACCCGCCTGTCGTTGAAAACCCAGTGGGGCGGCCCAGCTTTTGAGCCACCGAGTCGGGGACTTCCGTCTCGGAGACTTGGGTTCCTGAGTCTTCCTCGCTAGGCTGGAGCGCTTTGGAGACATTGACATTTGTCACAAGATTGGAGACCCTCGCGAGGAGCATCCCGGAATCATCTGGAATCCACACTGCAAGCTTCCTGACAGAGAAGCTTTCTGCTTTCCTGAACTGTGACAGGAACATTTAGTGTTTGGCTCGAGCTTCACCTGATGGCAAGCTGTGGATAGATATGGCCTCCGTGATATCATCTCAAGACAGCACTCTCCCGAGCAAAGCTGAGTGTTGTTTCGAGTGCTACTCGTACTATGCCCACGGCTTGTCCGGATACCCGATCAAAGAAGCAAAGTTTCGAAGTCTGTGCCAAAGATGCAATCGAAGCTTGTATCTTTGTGAGAATCACGTCGCAGCCGGGAAATGTCCTCGTTGTGGTCCATTAGCACAACTGGCAACATTCGCTGCCAGGAAATGTATCTCCTTCGACTGTGGTGACCGGTGATGCGGCGTTTGGTCTTCTGGAAGTTGCCGGAATTGAAGGTCTTGACGCTTGGTTGACATCATTTTCCCTGGACAGGTACTTGCCAGATACAATCCTATGGTGCTATGAGGAAGGTGTGTCTTCGTTGCAAGAGGTCTTCAAGAACTGGGAGCAGCTGGCGGATGCTTTGAATCTCAAGCGCTTGGGAAGAACCCGCATGTCGCAAGATCCAAGATGCCCGGCAAGGGCAGAATTTCCTCCGGGGAGTTTGCCTATGCATCCCGCAGTCATTCCTCCGGGGAGTTTGCCACAGTCATGTGGTATGATGATGATTGGAGGAGTGTCTCTGGGTATTCTAGTCCTTGTGACTTCGATGACTTTCATGACTGCGATCCTCGGGATGACTACGATCCCTGGGATGGCTTTGATCCTCGAGATGGCTATGATCATGACTCTAACGAATCCTCGGTATGATTACATACGATCCTTGGGACTATCCTCGGGATGACTATCTCCTGATGCTTGTTTCCATGACAATGGTTGGTACATGTTGGTACTATATAGTTCCTAGGATCAATAGTGGCCACGAATTTGCAAGGGGGACCGTGGTCCTGTGCGGCCTCAGCAACACAGCGAGTTGAGAAAAAGATACCGTTTCCCCATGCGATCCGGTAGGATAAAGGATGTCCCATGGCTGCCATGGCTGCAGGATACACCCTGGGTACGCTTTCGTCCTGGCCTCGGCTGTCTGCCACCCGATCGTTGGAATCCTTCGCTACCTCTGATCTGAGGTGATGCTTCTGCGGCACTTGCAGCGCTTGATGCCATCGCGAGGGGCGAGGTGTTAATAGATGGAGTGGTGGGCCCCAGTTCTCCAGAAGCCATCGAAATTTATCGAAGATCCACTCCACTGAGCTCGGAACACTTGCAGAAGACTATGGAGATCTCTAGATTCTCTAGATTTTTAAATAGATGCCGCAACCACTAAAGCTATGGAAACCTAGTATCCATAGGAACTGGAAACATTGGCTTGGCGCTGCCAAAAACCACATGCCCAGCCCCGAGGTTCCAATCAAAGCTCAGCCGCAGCCTCAGCAACCACCAGCTGCCAGCTGCCAGTGATGCGACACGCGCGCAGGTGGAGAGGTCGAAAAAAAGAACCTCCAGGATTCAAATCGGGCGCGCGTGACGCTGGCGATGCTTAGCCATGGACATCCATGGAGCATCAAACAAGGTCCAACTCCTTTGATGCTATCCAGAAAGCATAATTGATTATACGATATATAATTATATAATATTAAATTAATATTATATTTATTAATATTGAAACTGCGAAACTCATGGGTTTGGATGGGTTGCACATATTTGCACTATTTAAACTATTTGGCAGGTGATTTTCCTATTTATGTTTATGGCAAGTCGTGGCTTCTGGCCAGGCACCAGCCGCGACATATACTTAGAGCAGAGACTCGGTCAGAACTGCGAGCTTCAAAGTCAAGATCGCTGGGTAGCATGAAGTTGGCAAATCTATATTCAATAAACTTCAATAATATTGAATAGAGATTGCATGCAGTGTGTATCACTAACTATATGATACAGTTTTTTCCCTCATACATACATATATATATATACTGTATATGTGCCGTGCCTCGGCACTCCTCATTCTACGCGGACCAGAGTCCGCACACACACACAGAAAAGGTGCAAGATGGTGCAAGGTTCAAAAAAAGTAGGCCAAGGTTTTAAAAAAGTAGTTGCCCCAAAAAAAGGTCACCTAACCACCTATTCAACTAGACGCATTTGTGATTATGTTGGCCATCACAAGTGTTCGTGTTGGAGGGTTGGTATTTGAACACAAGCCCTGTAGCTAGTTCGTAGCCATTCGATGAGACAGGCCCTGGTGGTGGCGTAGCTTGACACTTTTTGGTGGAGTCAGTGTGAGTTTGTTGGTTTGTTTATTTGTTTAGTTATATATAAAGTTAATCAGATTGTTTAGTCTGTTAGTTCTGTTTGTTTGTTTAGTTTAGTTTAGTTTAGTTTAGTTTAGTTAGTTAGTTAGTCAGTCAGTTTGTCTAGTCTGCTAGTTTTGTTTGTTAGTTTTGTTAGTTTTGTTAGTTTGGTGAGTAGCTAGTTTGCTTGTTTGTTTGTTTGCTTGTTTGTTTGTTTGTTTAGATTGGTTGGTTGGTTGGTTGGTTAGTTAGTTAGTTAGTTAGTTAATCAGGTCGTTTAGTCTGTTAGTTTTGCTTGTTTTTTTGCTTGTTTGCTTGTTTGTTTAGATAGTTAGTTAGTCAGTCAGTTTGTTTGGTCTGTTGGTTTAGTATGTTAGTTTTGATTGTTTGTTTTTTTAGTTTAATTAGTTTATTAGTTAGTCAGATTGTTTAGTCTGTTAGTTTTGTTTGTTAGTTTAGTTTAGTTTGGTTAGTTAGTCAGTTTGTTTAGTCTGTTAGTTTTCTTTGTTTGTTTGCGTGTTTTTGGTCGTTTAGTTAGTTGTTTAGCTATTCAGTAAGTCAGTTTGTTTAGTCTGTTTGTTTAGTCTGTTAGTTTTGTTAGTTTTGTTTGTTTGTTTTGTTTGTTTGTTTGTTTGTTTGTTTGTGTAGTTTGTGTAGTTTGTGTAGTTTAGTTAAGTTTAGTTTCGTTTAGTTGAGTTGAGTTCAGTTTAGTTGAGTTGAGTTTGGTTTAGTTAGGTAGTTAATTAGTTAGTCAGTCTGTTGAGTCTGTTAGTTTACTTTGTTGATTTTATTTGTTTGTTTAGTTAGTCAGTTTGTTAGTCAGATTGTTTAGTCTGTTAGTTTAGTCTGTTAGTCTTTGTTTGTTTGTTTGTTAGTTTAGTTTAGTTCAGTTTAGGTCAGTTAGTTTGTTAGTCGGTCTGTTTAGACTGTTAGTTTTGTTTGTTTGTGTATGTTTGTGTTCTTAGTTGGTGAGTCAGTTTGTTTAGTCTGTTAGTGTAGTAAGTAGTTTAGTTTTTTGTTTAGTTAGTTAGTCAAATTGTTTTGTCTGTTGGCCTTGTTTGTTTAGTTAGTTAGTCAGATTGTTTAGTCTGCTAGCCTTGTCTCTTTGTTTAGTTAGTTCGTTAGACTGTTTAGTCTGTTGGCCTTGTTTGTTTGTTTGTTTGTTTGTTTAGTTTTTTTAGTTTGTTACTTAGTTTGTTTGTTTAGTCAGATTGTTTAGTCTGTCAGCCGTGTTTATTTGTTCAGCTAGTTAGTTGGTCAGATTGTTTAGTCTGTTAGCCTTGTTTGCTTGTTTGCTTGATTGTTTGTTTGTTTGTTTTTTGTTTGTTTGTTTAGTTCGTTTGTTTGTTTTGTTTGTCGCAAATTTCACTTTGATCTTTTCTTTTTTCCCCTAGCATTCAAGGCAAAGAGCTCGTGGCGGCAGGTGGGTTATGTCTGCGGTCCAATATATTCCAAGTTGTTGGAAGGTGATTGAGGATGGTGAGATACTTTCACCATTTTTCCCTTGGATGTGTTTGACCAAGAGATATCTCAAAGGGGTGGCCAATCAACGTGAAACATTGCTGTTTGGAGGCAGAAATATGGGCATAATAATTATAGTTCCAGGCTATGAACTGTAAAATGTTGCCCTGTTGTTTACCACAAGGTCACAGCATGTTCTGGTCTATATATTGATGACAAGAATGCAAACAGTTGCAAATTGTCCACCATCAATTTCCGCTGCTCCCTTTCTCTCAAGCACAGGCCACTCAAAACAATGTAATTAGGCCAATCTTGGATCGTTTCGCATACTGTATGTGACTGAAGCATCTTCCCTCAAATGGCAAGCACAGACGAGCGACTTGGCTGAGTTTGGCCCTAGCTTTGATAGTCTTCGTTTAGCATACACTGTTTTTTTGGTTCAAAATTAAGCGCCCAAACCCTCAAGGTCCATCATCATTTCTCACATGTTTTTTTTCTCCAAACGTCTCAGATTTCACTGAGATTCGGGGTTCCGAAATGTTCCGAAGACCTGAGGGTGAGGGTAGACCCTGGATTTTCCATGGGTATTTTCACAGTTGCGAGGCCACGGAGAGATGATAGTGCTTCTTCTGGGTCTTCAGCTGGGGTATCGGCCTCTTGGCGGATGCTGTTGCGGGCTGGGGTCCCGGCATGTCCCGGCCATCGCGATGAGATGCAAAACAGTCACGTCCTCAATGTTGACCCAAGGGTTGAAAACAAGATTGTGGATTACTATTGTGGTGATTCGATATCTCATATTCCTGAATATAATCCTGAATATCCATTTGAATTATACCAGCTATACCAAGAAACGGCAACATGTCAACAACTGATCTGGATCAATTCAATTACTGAAATTAATATTAACTCCATTTCCATTGTCAAATTACCATAGAAATATCCATATGAATTATAGTGTCCTCCCCCACAAGATAGAAAAGTTAAGTGTACCTTAAATAGTGATAACCTTAAACTACCAGCATAAACTATACGTAGTTACTCTGCTATTTTTTGGGATTATACCATGTCGAAATTCCACATGATCCTGTTATTTGGTGAGTGCCCTTTTCCTAGGAGATCCCCAGCGTCATCGAAGATACGGGCGACTGGCCCGTCAATCCTGAAATCGCTCCGGCCAGGCAGATGATCGTCACTTGGCCGTGGGACCACCGGGGACCCGGGTGATTAACCATGGCTGTTGATCATGGGGGGTCAAACTGGGGACAATGGTAGCTCCATGATTGGGGACAATGGGGGACTAACCATGGGACAATGGTGACTAACATTGACTAACCACATAAACCACGGTTGATCATTGGGGACTAACCATGGCTGTCATGGCTGTGGCTTTATGTGGTTTTTACTGTAGCAGATGCTCATAGATGACATGGTTCAAGGTGAGAGGGGTGTTGAAGACACCAGTGTAGCTAGCACCGTTGGGGACCCGTCTTCGCTGTTTGATGACAACAACGTCGATGAAGACAATGAGAGTGAGCAAGGGATTGAGGATGAGAATAAGGACTGATGATGATGATGATGACGATGACGATGACGATGAGAATGAGGATCAGGATCAGGATCACATCAGGATCGGGATCAGCATGAGGATTAGATGACGCGGAGGAGGCGGAGGAGGAGGAGGAGGAGTGTATAGCTCAGGAAACGGCGGGTTTTTCACTTGGCCTGCGTTCTGTCAGAGATAAACTACGACTAGTTTGCGATTGGGCGGCGGCCGCATTTCTTGCGGCAAATCGAGGCGGTCAGGCCCAGCTCTAGTTTTCTGAAAAAAGCAAAGACGAGGACGTTTTTCGGCAGACCCCAACATCCGCCAACATCGGTATGGAAGATCTCCAGATTTTGTTGGAAAGCAATGTCTCGGATGAATTGGGATGATGGGAGGCTGGTTTTTGCGACCTTTATTAGTGATGCGTTTGCAAGCGGACACCGGCTGTGAGCATGAAACATGCATAGAAGAGCATAGAACAGCAGTCTCAAAATTGGCAGTGACAGTGACCCAAGTCCATCAAATAGCTATATACTGTATATATATATAATAGCCTAGTAGGGCAAATGGTGGAACTGTCTCATAGGTTGAACTCAGCCTTGTTTTGATGGCTCATGACAGGACAAGAAGCCTCGATAAAGAGACCATGAACATGTTGAGAGTGATGATCGCAAAAGCTTTGAGACTTGTTCGCATTTTTTCAAAGTCACAAAGTCAAAGGGTGCGACACCCATCGTTGAACAAAACCTTGCCAAAGGAGACGCACTACGGTCACCGAAAAGCTTGAATCCCCAGAAAAGGGTGGGCTAAAGTCACTTCCTCGCTCCTGGGGTGTCCAGTTTTTACCCGAACTTTTTTGTTCTTCGATGTTGCATCCGATTGCATCTAGCAAGAGGACGCCAGGAGTCAGGACCGGTTTCCAAGTTGTTTTCCTTCGCCCCAGGAGGTCGAACACTTGGGATCTTTTCACGGGCACCTTGGCGATTTTGGATCTTTTGCCTCAGAGATCACAGATGGTCCCAGATGTGTAGATCCCCCAGAAGGGCGGATCCTGTGGGGTTCCGAGGTGTCATTGTTCTGGCCGACATTGGCTTCTCGTGCATCGACATTGACTCTCGAACATCTGGTGGAACTGCCCCAGGGTGGGTTGGTGTTGCTTCGACCGGTTGCTTGACACTTTACGCCACTGGGCCTGCAGGGGTGGTAGGATGTGGTAGGGAGGCTGCCAGAATCATCATACCACGGCCTGACAAGTCGGATGCGCCTTCCTGATGCATCATGTTCACGGCCAGGGCTACTCATGTTGCTAGCCTGCATGATTTTGGTGTGTATAAACCTTCATTTGGATTCAATCATTTGGATTCAGTAATTAGTATGATAATTCATATTTTAGAGGCTTTTCACATGCGAATACATGCGGAACAAATGATATCAAATGATATGAAATTATATCACTTGATATCAAAAGACAACATGTTATACATATATCGCAACAATCATAACAATTAACTCGAATGTCAACCTTACAGCCGTAGTGGAGGAACAGAAGGCCATTTCTGGGGCCTTCGCTGTGGCCGCAAGGTCCTCAACGCCTCAGGTGGGGTGTTGTTTTGACTTTCAAGCCACATCAGCCCACTAAGATCCACTAAGTATTTAATGCAAACCTATTTGTTGACTTTTTTGGGGGTACACATACATGCATGCATGCATCCATGCATCCATGCATGCATGTATGTATGCATACATGCATACATGCATACATGCATCCATACATGCAGCCATACATGCATGCATACATGCATCCATACATGCAGCCATACATGCATGCATACATGCATGCATACATGCATGCATGCCTACATGCATACATGCACCCATACATGCATCCATACATGCAGCCATACATGCATGCATACATGCATTCATACATGCAGCCATACATGCATGCATACATGCATGCATACAGATGCATGCACATGCATACATGCATACATGCACCCATACATGCATGCATGCATACATGCATACATGCATTGATGCATGCACGCATACATCCATACATGCATGCATGCATGCATACATTCATACATACATACATGCATGCATACATGCATTGATGCATGCACGCATGCATCCATACATACATACATGCATACATACATACGTACGTACGCACGTACGTACGTGCATATGTATACATATGTATACATATTGTTACACACACAGACACACACACACCATTATATATATATATTTATGTGTATAATACATGAATGTCGGTAGACCCGCTTGATCAATATTTTTGGGATTCATTGCAGAAAGGGCTCAGTGTCCTGGCTGAGATATTGGAATTGCTTGGCAACCTTCTTTCGCGAGACTCTTCATTTCTAAAGGACTGATCTGCCTTGGGCGCCGTGTTAAGCTGCTTTGGTCAAAATGGTGCCATGTATTGATATGAAAAATACAAATCCAACAATTGGATTATTCTTTCATAAATCATGATGAATGATGATTTTCATGTCATTACTGTAGATCTTCATCAAGGACCCTGGGGGACCCTCCATTTATGGTAAGTTGTGAGGTTGGGACCACCTGTCGAGGGATGCTGCAGGAATTTTGGACGCAGCTGGACATTTTGATCATCTTCGCGGGTGTGATCCAAATCATTTTGGATGCCGTTGGCTTAAAAGGAGACAGATCCTTGGATGTGACTGGAACCATGGATTTTTTTTAATGGCTTTCCATATCTTGGGAACATGTTTATCCCACTTGACGAATTCATATTTTTCAGAGGGGTAGGCTCAATGACCAACCAGTAATTGAAACCATGGCAAGGCAACAGGTTTACCGAGATAGACGAGTGGGACCGTTGTTTTCCAAGCCATGGCACCATCGTTAACTACGTCCAGATCTAAGGCTTCGCCCTCCTGCGCATCCTGCGAGTGGTGCGCATTCTGAGGCCGCCAGTTGGGATCCTGGCATCATAGCCAGGAGCCAATCCATCGTGATCCATTCAATGGGAATTTCAGGATCCTAAAATGGAGGTACGTTAGTACCATATGTTTGGCCATATTTTGTGGGGATATTCCCTTACATAGGCCTGAAATATAGGCCTAATATATGGTAGGTACCTCCAATCTAGGATCCTGAAATGGCCATTGATCCATTGTAAATAAATAGATAACCTTAATAAATTGTCAGATACACATAATGTAATATATATATATATTATAATTATATATTTATACACACATATTGTATCATATTGTAGTTCTACAACATCCACACACGGTTGAAACGTGTTTATCTAAAGTTCTTGACTTGAACGTTTTAGGCTCGACCCTTCTAGAATCCCACTGGCTGTTTGATGAAAAAGATGGCTGTATAATGTTTCACGCATACGCACCCATGTTTCACAGCAAACATCAGTAGTGGCAATACCAAACTGACCCAACATGTTTGTTTTGCGAAAGGACATCACGTTTTTTTCTCCACAGCCATATGGAACCCACATGGAACCCACATGGTTTGCTCAAAAAGTGTTGATGTATAAAATACAAAATCGCACAAAATCCTTTGAAATCCCAAGTTTTTGCCCATGATGTTTAATTTTTAATGGGCCGATGTCCATCTCCATCTAAGCGAATCTGCGGTTTCAGGCTGCTGCGGCTTTTTCGCAAATTTGCAATGCTAAAAGAGCTGCGAAAGTGTCTCGATGCGTGAATTGGGAAAAGTGGGATAGTCGAAAAAGTTGCCTCTTTGATACGGTTTTCTTCCGCCGTTGTGTATATAACTATATATTGTAATTGATATTATATATAAATAAAGCGCACACACACAGACACACACACACACACAGATATATATATATACATACAGTATCACGGATATGTGCTGCTGTCAGCTTGCGTCGGCAGTAGCACGCTTGCTGCCCGTATTGACTAGCTCCTGTTTGTGTTTTGTGGCCCCAAAACAGGGGGCCAGATTCTGGACCTCAAAATGGGGCCACAATACTAAAATTAGCAGCCCAGCTTCCAAATGTGTGGTCCCAATTTTGGTTCCATGGTGTATGCGTTTTGCCTTCTGCAAAGAGTGCGTTGAGCTGCGGCAGGTTGCATCTTCCATTCATGTTTTCTTGCGCTTGGTGCCAGGATGCTGGTTTCACATGCAGTGCACGCAGTGAAGGAAGGCAAAACGCATGCAGGCCCACAGCCCCAAAAATGGGTCCGCGTCGCAGCGCAAGCCAAAGGAACGTTTCAAAAGGCGCAGGGATGCCAGTGCTGTTCTGCAGCGAACATGGCTGCCACAAGCAATGCCAAGACATGCGTACCGCCAGCGGCAGTATAGAGGACCCTGGGTGCAACCCCCGGCACCCCCAGATATCAAAGTTGACTTACTTCCGCGCTCTGCAAAGCTACACCAGGAAAGGCAGCAAGACTGGCTTTTGCGAGTGGCAACGTTGATTCCTGGGGGACGGGGCCATGTTTGCGTGTGCATATCCATATACATCACGCGGAAGCAGCGTTAAATTAATTCGTATTGGCTTGGCCGCGAAACTACTAAGCATGTGCTCAAAAGCTACTAAGCACGGTGTCGCATTTCGTATTGGCTTGGCCGCAAAGCTACTAAGAATGCGTTCAAAAGCTACCAAGGACGATTTTGCAATTCGTATTGGCTCGGCCGCAAAACTACTAAGAACACGTTTCAAAGAATAAAAAAAACAGTATCTTCTTCTAATCTTCAATTTTGAGAGACATTCTTAGTAGTTTTGCGTCCAAGCCATTATGATTTGCAACTCACGCCTTAGTAGTTTTTCATGAACTCCTTAGTAGTTTTGCGTCCAAGCCATTGTGATTTGCAACTCACGCCTTAGTAGTTTTTCATGAACTCCTTAGTAGTTTTGCGTCCAAGCCATTGTGATTCGCAACTGGTGCTTTACTAGTTTTTCGCGATATGGTTAGTAGTTTCACGTCCAAGCCATTGCGATTTGTACGTCATGCCTTAGTAGGCCTTTTATTAAGGGTTTGGGGGCGCTTCTTCTCAAAGCCTAGGTGGGCCCAAGGCCCCAAAACCGGAGCCTCAAATAAGTGGTAAAGCAAGCGCCTCGGGCATGTACCCTCGGAGTATATATATATAGATATATATATATACATATATATACATGTCTTTTTATATGTATGTATATATATATATTGCAGATGTATGCACCATTCAGTGTTGTTTTCTGGGGTAGTGCTCTCTGATGTTTTGGCGCCACATTTCGCTAGCTGAAATCCTTTGAAGTGAGGTTGCTGTTGATGGCCACCAGTTGCTTCAAGACCTTGTTCTGGTCATTCCTCTTTTGCACCTCGGCGGGCGGAGTTTTTTTCCTCGTGATTCTGGTCCAAGTCTGGGTGATGAGAAAGGCAAAAAACCCGTGATGAATCTCATGTTTTATAGGGAATAGTTTGGTGAATTTTGGGGTATCATACTATAATGGGATATCACTGATGAATCTCAATCCCATCACCCAGACTTCTAGTTTTCATGTTTTCTATGAGCAGGTAATCATTTCAAAATTATCCGCACCTCCACCTTTTGTTTTTCAGGGTGACCATTGAGTACTTGCCGGTTTTTCTTGGGCCTGCTGAAACCATCAGTGATAAGATGTCGCCGATGTCGCCTTGGCCCGACGTAGCTGACATAGCTCGGCTCAGGCTTCATCTGCATGGCTGCTTGGTCGATGTTGGCAGTGGAAATGCTCCACATGGATATGAAGGTGCTGGTGGCTGAGTCTCAGTGGCTATAGTACTTGGAGAACTGGCATCATTTTAGCGTTTCACCCAGTGTTTCACCCAGTATTTGGCCGCTTTGCTGAGGAAGGCGTATGGCAAGACTGCAGCTTTTGCGAACGGTCTTTGAGCAACGATCCTTGGCCACTGCAACCAGAAAGGTCACCTCTGCTGTGGGTTTGTCTGAAAATAGATTATGCCCAATACACGGCTATTTGAATGGGAAAATGATGGAAAATTGCCCTTTGCCATCAATTGTTTTTCGGGTACCCTATTTTTCGACAAAGCCAAAGAAGTTTGCGACTTGAGGTCATGAATGCCAACCTTCTTCTCTTTAAAACGGTGGTGGCTATTGACTCCTGGGGCAGAGTCGCCGTTCCATTGATCGAACGCAATCCCTTCGCAGCATTCATTTTTTGTGGTTGCCCAGCTGCATCGATGGTACAGCTGATCAACCAAACGATTCATCGATGGGGGCACCCCCAACAGACATCCCAAGTTGGTGTTTATAGGGAGGTATAATTTGGCAATGGGATTATGTTTATCATGAGCCCTTTGGTTAGTTGACAGGATGGACTCGGATGTGTTATGGCCTTGGCTTTCCCACGACTCCGTCAGCAAGGGTTTGATCCATCGGGGGGGCAGGTTCCCAGCTCTCGATCGTCTTCGGAGTGCTGAATCTGATTGTTGCAGGAGCGCCAAATTGGGTGTGATCCATAAAGTCAAGACGACTATGAGTTGCAAGTGGGGTGTCAATCTTCTGAAAAGTAAATAATGTACATGTTATACATAACTGTTTCTTTTTGGGGATATTGCCAACTTACTTAGATGGTGATTGGCCTTGTCGGAAATTGAACTTGAAGTGGCTCCTTTCCTATAATCAGAGTGACCTCATGAGAGACTGGCCCATCCCCTCAAGCACCAGTCGTGGTGGACCAGTTTGCCGAGCAGCGAACCAAAGACGTCAGCAACATGGCTAATGAGTCTCGGCATCTGCAGGAGCAGAGAGGGACTGAAAGAAACTTCAGACATTTTACTTAGATGAATGGTACTTGTACATATATATATATAATTAATAATGCATAGTTCTGCCTATGTTAGAATTAGATACATATGTGTGTTTGTGCTATATAATATTGCCAAAAAGATCCAAAAAGCACTCATGAATGTTTTCCATATGGTTCTTGCAGGTCGGCTAGGTCGAACCGTTCACGGTCGACTGAGGAGTTGGAGGAGGAAGCAGACGAAGAGTTCAGACGACTGGATAAGATGTTTCAACTCATTGATGGGGATGGCAACTTGGAATAACTCTTGGGTAATGCGGGAGGCCCAACAATACACCTGCCATTTGGGAAAGATTTCAACAACCCATTTATGGCGATTTTGGGGATGGTTTATTGATGGGTTCACCACATTATAGAGCTCTTGAAGTAACTTGTATACAATCACAGAATCACAGCTTTGAAGGGTACAGAATCACCACATGATTTTCATGAATAACTGGTATAATCAACAGAAATTCTGGATATTTCCAGAAATGCGGCGAGATCTTCGACTTTTGGCCCTTTTTTGGGGGGCAGATTTCAGTGAAATGGCCTTTTATCAGCAGCTGAGGTGATGGTGAGCTTACATTGCCTGAGTTGCTGGATGGAGCTGCGAAAAGCCGGGAATTTCAGAATCGCCTACGGGTCATGGACATCGATCAGGCAACGTGAGCAGATTGTGAGCAGAACATCAGTCAAAATAAGATGTCAACATATGTCAACATATGTCAACCCCGGATGAGACTAAACTCGGAATTCGATTCCAGTCTTGGAATCTGAGTGTGATCAGTGTGATCTATGTTGCGACGTGGAAACCAGAACTTTTAGCCGCCTTGAATCCTTGACTCTTTAACTAAATAGAACAATAATCTGATAATCGTGGCGTTTGACCACCTTTCAACCATGTTTCTGTAGGCCTTTTGAACGGCGTAGAACGCCGCAGCGCCGTTGCAGGCAGATTTACATCAGCTCTTTGGAATGCTGGACTCAGACGGTGGCGGAACCATTGATCCGGAAGAATTTAAGCAGACCTTGACGCGTCACTTGGAGGGTTACCCAGAAAGATCGAAGTTTGTTTTTTTGTTATCAATGAATGGTTAAAAACCATTAACCATCTATAGCATCAACCATCTAAGTATTAACCATCTATAATATTAACATTTAAAACCAGGGTTTCCTCTAATTGTTCTATGGAAAGCAAATTTTTGATTACAACACATGTTGAACTGCTGCAAAAGGGGTGACTTCTATTGGTCATCTGAATTGAAAGACCAATCCACATGGTTCACATTGGATGATGGAACATTTTACAGGAAACCCCTATATTCAATGATAAAAACAATGGGTTTCCGGTTAAGATGTTCCCTTAAACCAATCCATTGAAAATTCAGGGGACTATACCCATAATCATGAATATTGACGATTATTAAATACCCTCTACTACGAAGTGTCATGAGATTGTGGGTTTTGCTTGGATGCAATTTTTGATGCCTTTTTTTGACAACAGAAAGGCTCTAAAATGAAGGGGTTCTAGGATCATAAGCTTGATTTCCGAAGATTTGATTCCAGGGCCCCCCCTGGGAAAATAATTTCAGACACCTTTTTGAGTCTAAAATCTTTCCTCAAGGGCCCTGCTCGTACTTGAGGGTATATGATTAATATATATATATATATTGATGGATATTAACCATGAACCATAGATATTGATGGATATTACCATATTGTTATAATAGATATTAACATATATTAACCATGATCAACTCTCCATGGCAACCTGGGGCTCCATCGGTAGGTTGGAACTTCGACGCCAAGACCAGCAATCGCTTCATTCGCTACGCGCTGCAGCAGCTCATGAAGGACCACGCCTCCGCAGCGCAGCGGCTCTGCAGCATGGAGGAGCGCCTCTCCAAGGCGAACCGCATTGAAAGGGAGGGAACATGGAGGGAAAATGGAGGGAAAATGAAGATTTCATTTGATTTAGGGGGGTTACACTTACTGGGTTGTAGTCGGATGCCGAGGGTATTTTCACCATCTAAAGCTGGTTGAACCGAGCGTTTTGCCACATGGTCTTTATCCTCATGATATTCCCAATGTCGTGTGAGTTAAATATCGCTTGATAGTTAGATTCCCCGAAGGGTGATGTTTGCAGCAGCCAACGTCCCAACGTCCCTGAGGCACTTTACCGTGAGCAGGCTGCTGTTGCGAAGGCTGAGCGAAAGAAGTCCAAGCAGTTGAGAGGACCTGCTCAAAATAAATATCTCAAAATGTGTTTTTTTTTTTGGGGCAAGATATGGCAATATTTGTATACCAGTAGTCCCGCACAAGGCGGTGGCGGAAGTTTCAAAGATAGGACACTATAGGAGAGGTGAGTTGTCGTGGTGCATGGAATCCACTGATGGGCCGAAAGGTGGTTGGAGTTGTTTTTTTTTGGAGTGGTTGCCATGTCACCTCACCCACAACTGCTGGATGTAGTGTGGTGTAGTGCAGATGTAGTTGTAGCTGTGGTGTGGTGTAATGAGCGTAGCGCAATGTAATATAGTGTAGTGTGCTGTAGTGTAGTCTAGTCTAGTGTAGTGTAATTAGTGTGGTGTTGTGTGGTGTTGTGCGGTGTGGTGTGGTGTAGTGTGGTGTAGTGTAGTGGAGTGGAGTGTAGTTTAGTGTATAGTGTAGTGTAGTGTCAGTGTAGTTGTAGTATGTTGTAGTTGTCGTTGTAGTTGTAGTTAGTGTAGTGTCGTGTAGTGTAGTGTGTGGTGTGGTGTGGTGTACTGTGGTGTAGTGTAGTGTGGTGTAGTGTAGCGTAGTGCAGCGTAGTGTAATTATATAGTGTAGTGTAATGTAGTTGTAGTTGTAGTTGTATTGTAATGTAGTGAGTGTAGTGAAGTGGAGTGTGATGTAATGTAGTGTAGTGTAATTAGTGTAGTGTACTTGTGGTTGTAGTTGTAGTTGTAGTTGAAATTAGTGTAGTGTAGTGGAGTGTAGCGTAGTGTAGTGTAATGTAATTAGTGTAGTGTAATGTAATGTAGTTGTAGCTGTAGTGGAGTGGAGTGGAGTGTAGTGGTGGTTTTGGTCGACATTGCTACAAAACCCGCACGTTTTGCTCACTTTTGACAACGTGCACAATCCGCAGCGCCGGCCACGCGAAGCGACATCTGAACGTCCAAAAGCGCGCCGTACCCGTCATTTTTTGCACCTTTGACTTGAGAAAATGTGCTTCGCGCCACAATGGCGTGCACTTTTTTGACATGTCAAGTTTCGAAAGTGGTCCGAGAATGGTGTGTTTCGTACATTTTGATTTGGAAATGTGCTGCACGCCACAACGGCGTGCACTTTTTCATCTCTCATCTGGCCAGATGGCTCCGCACCCGCTTCTTTAGCGAGCCTACTTTTCGACCCTCCGGAGCCACAAATCATCGGAAAAACACAGTGAATTGCGACTTTTCTACATTTTCGCGCACGTGCATTTCCTTTCTTCTGACTCTTTCTCTTCTCTGATCTTCTTTCTTCTGCTCTTCTCTTCTCTGACTCTTACTACCTCTGCTTTTCCATCTGCCCATATTATTGTCGGAAGTTTGACTTCTACACTTCCTTCGGCCAGAGAGTGCCACAAATAGGGATAGATTCATCCAGCCTTTTTCAGGGATTGCAGGCATATCGGGGAGGAACACCCTAGACAATTAACTTTGGCAGTCTGACAAGGTCCAGGCAATGGACATTTCGCCCGCTTATTTTGTCAGTGATCTTCGGCAGAGAGTAACATGCTCGCCTGTTGGTTTGCGGTAAAGTTTTTGATGCTGTACCAACAAGGAGGTGAATGCAACCAACCCCACGCGGCCATGGGATCTTACCAACAATGTTTGTTATTCATCGTGACTAGTCAATGCTGAGACGGGTGATGCACAGCGCAACAGTCCAGACCTCCCCCTAAAACGTTGGTCATCCTTGTGTTTCAGCAACTTACTTTTTGAGTGTCCCCGTTTTTGCCATGTGTGTGAACAGAATTAAGGAGAAGGGGCCACTTTTGGGTGTGGATTTCCTTCTAGAAGCCATGTCTCCATATATGGGTTTCAGTTTCGACATTGAAACGGATTTCGTTGTTCAATCCTTGGCACTTGGATTGACAACACTAGCAGTTTTTCAGTTTTTCATAGTTTTTCCATGGCTTCCATAGATTTTTGTCAGAACTGTTTGATGGTCCATGCTCTTGTAGGACTTCGCATGGCACGGAAATTTCGAGACCAGCGGGCGCACCTGGGATTTGAACTGATCCATCGAGCGAACTAGGATTCAACAGGGTAAGGGTTGCGCACTTGACAGCACAAATTGAGGATAAAGTGACCGGGCTTATCCGGGCTTGTTCTAGAAAAGTCACTGCTGTCTCTGTTCAATTGATGGCAACTGTTGGCAGCAAATCCAAAGATTGGAATCCAGAGGGAGCGTTTCCAGTTAAAGTGGTGCAATGTGGCAAGCTCGATACCATTACCCGTTTGAGCTACCATGAACTAACAGGTTCTTAGCGTGCATAAACCATTCAGGAGTGACTGCGAACATTTGTAAACCATAAAAATCACATTGCAGCCACTCTCTCTCTCCCTCTACAAATATATAACTTAAATAAATATAATATATAATATAAATATATAAAGTAATAATAATAACAATAATAGTAACAATAATAATGATAATAATAATGATAATAATAATGATAATAATAATGATAATAATAATGATAATAATAATGATAATAATAACAATAATATATATATACACGCAAGTGCACAAATGCATGTCTATTTATTTACGTGCTATGTATATATATATAAGAGCACAATTGCATATACATATATATAAACATATATTTGTGGCAGTGGGTTTGCGACGTCGGACAGCCCTTTGTTTCTTCTTGCCAGCCACTGGAGCCCCAGCAAGATTGACCAAGGCTGCCAGTTCAGAAGAGGCGCCTTGTCGATGAGGCAGGGCATGTGGGCAACCTAATGCCATACACCTGCCATGACTGGGGATGGTTGAAATCCCACCCATTTATTGTTTTTTTGGGGATTGTGAAAATCATTGGATTTGCCAGATTACATGTGTATAACCATGTACGTTAAGAAAACACATGTCCGCAACGTGTTTATTTTCACGTGTAATATATGAATACACGTACATACATACTTACATACGTACGTACGTACATACAGACATGCAGACATACAGACATACAGACATACATACATACACACAGACATGCAGACATACAGACATAACAGACATACAGACATACAGACAGACATACAGACAGACATACAGACATACCGACATTTTACAGGCATACAGACAGACAGACATACATACATACCCCTCCGGGGCGGACGTTCGCCCAAAGTTTCATTGGGGGTTTAGTTGGGTTGTGGTTTGTTCAGGATATGTTCAGATTGTTTTAGGGTTTGCTCAGAGTTGGTTCCGCACAGATCGCATGGATCCTGGGCCACATTCATGATAATAGAACAAATGATGCACAATTAGATCTTAACCGCCCAACACAGATTGCTTGGGCAAATAGGTTGGTCATCGATGGCCCGATATATTTCCACGGACAAAGGCTTGAGAGCAGCATGTAAGCAATGATCTACCATTCAGGATTGAGACATCTCTTATTGCAGGAAGATCGATGGATGCATAAAAAGGAAGATAAAAATTACATGTATCATATATATATATATTAATATACATATATAATTCTACACGCGCTCCCATAAATCCAGCAAAATTCGCAGGAGGAGTTGGCAGGGGAAGTGCGGGAGCAGCGGAGGGTGCACTGCTTGACGATGGTCCTCCAGAAGGCCACGCCGCGCGCTGTGCGCTGGCGCGCCCACAGCCCCCACAGGAAGGTATGCCGCTTCGTTGCCTTCTTAGAAGGCAACTAGGTGAAAAGGCAGGGGATTGGGCAAGTTCGAGAGTCTTCATAATCGCAGGGGCTGGCACCAATCAACCGGCCAAGAAAGAGCTTTTCCAATGGCGAGAAGTCGCGTCGCAAGCGTAAGGCTGCAAGCGCTGTCTTGCCCAACATGGAGAAGTCCATCAAGCCGGATGCTCCCAGCTGGAACAGCATTGCTGAAAGAGTCAAGTACCTGAGCTTTGGACTTTACTGGATGATTCCTTTCATGCGCTACAGGTTGCAAACTGCATTCACTGTGGCGAATCAGATGGGTAAGTTCCGAGCTATGTGGGCCTACGCCTACGCTGCCATTGTGGACTATATGGAGCATTTCGGTATGCAAAGATGTGCAACGAAGCTGACCATATATATATATTATATATTATCGTGTGGCACTCATGTCCCACCATACGCAACCGAAGCTGTGGGCATGAGTGGGAAGGGAAACGTGGCGGGTTTCCTGTACCTGTAGATATATTTATATTTATATATTATATATGTATAGTCCCGCCCCTGGGCGCATTTAAGTCGCAGCTGGGGGGGACGTATAGGTTCATCTCATCGTGTCATGTTGTTGCGTTGGTGTTTTTTGCACACCTGATGCATTCCACAACAAAACTCGGAACGACAGTTCTGATCAAGTGTGTGTGTGTGTGCGCGTGTACATGTGTCTGCAGCACCGATATATTGAAAATTATATGTTTTTTTTCCATCTATCTACGTATAATTAGAGAGACAAAGATCTTCAGAGGTATAAGCAGATCTGGTACTACCAGCCCACGAATAAGAATTCCACTATTTGCTTCCAAGACTACCCCCCCAGCAAACTGATGGCACGACATAGAGCTCTGAGGTCAAACTTCCCCCATCGCTATACAGGACATAGCTTTGGTAAAATCCCAGATCAGATGTGTGATACTATGCACTGATCTAAAGATGATAAATACATATATATGTATATATGTATAGAGAGAGAGAGAGGAGACAGAATGTGTCCTTACACGAATGCAGGCATATACATCTTGTAATGGTGCCACATGGAAATATCTACGAAACTTTGACATACCACCCCTGTGGGATTTTCTTTAGGGTTTGTTTAGGGTTCATTTAGGGTATGTTTTGTTAATTTTCGTGCTATTTAGGGTTGTTTTAGGGTTTTGCTCACGGTTGTTTTAGGGTCTATTTAGGGTTATTTATGGTTGATTTAGGGTCAGTTTAGGGTTTATTTAGGGTTAGGTTATTGGTGTTCTTTCAAAGTCTTGCGGTTTGTCGAAGTCTCAGTTAACGGCTCGAAACGATGCAAATTACGGGGCATATCTTTGAGATACGCTTCAAAAGGTGATTTTGGCACCGTCTTAGGTAAGCGCAAAAATGCCACGAGACGCAGGCAATATCAATAGTTTGCATGCTCGCAGTGTGCAAAAAACACGCATGGAAACAACACAGCAGATTGCAGTCCCACATGGAATTCCGTGGATTTCGGGCAAACGTCACCCCCCCCCGCGATACATACATACATACCTACCTACCTACATACGTACATACGTACATACGTACATACGTACACGCACACAGACATACAGACATACAGACATACAGGCATACAGACATACATACATACATACATATAAGCAAACATACATACATACATACATACATACTTACTTACTTACTTACTTTACTTACTTACTTTACTTACTTACTTACTTACTTACTTTCTTACTTACTTACTTACTTATATATATATATGTGTGTATATATGTATATTATATAGATTTATTTAGGTATGTATATATCGAGGTTCCCCAAAATCCAGGATGGAAAGTTCATGAAAAGTGGTTTTTCAAACAGTAACATCTCATCATCCAATGCGAGTCGTCATCTCCAGGCCAAGCTGCTCCACGGAGATCACTTTGGTCCACATTGTTGCAAGCCGCGACGGCCGAGTTCCAACCTGGAAGCAGCGAGTTTCAAGGGAAAGTCCCTGGAGAAGGGGGGCAGTTACAGGACATCCCAACTGAAACTTCAGAGCCTATGGTAAAAACAAGGGTTCTACATGTTCAACCTATTTTTTCCCCGTCCCAGAAAGGGGTATTCAAAGCCGCTTGGGGTTGATGAGACTGGTGACAACGGAAGGCAAGAAACAACAGTTTTTTGGGAACACTACGGAGCTCTGAAGCAATTTCTTTGCTCAGTTCACAATCAATGACATTCCTACTTATTACTGCACATATATATATGATATACATATAATAGTTATACCTATATCTAAATTTATATCTATATATCTACATATCTACATATCTACATATTTATATTTCTATATATCTATATATCTATATATCTATATATCTATACATCTATATATCTCTATATCTATATATCTATATATCTATATATCTGTATACCTATATACCTATATATCTATATATCTACATATCAGTATACCTATATATCTATATATCTACATATCAGTATAACTATATATCTATATATCTATATACCTACATACCTATATATCTATACATCTAAATATCAGTATAACTATATATCTATATATCTATGTCTATATATCTCTATATATATATAGATTTAGATTCATCATTATCTATAATAGATAATGATGAATCTAAACAAATAATTTGTGACCAGATTTCCGTGCCCCCATTTTTTTGCCAAGACATCCCAGGCGTGGCCTGGCTCTCAACCAATCTGATGGCACTGCTAAGCAGCGTCAATGGACCCAAGGGACCAAGGGGATGGGTCAAAATATGTGGAATCTTCGGTTGATTCCGAATTGCAGCGACTATGCATTGACTATACTGGATTTAGAAAATGTGGCACCTCATTTTTTAATTAGTGGTAAGAAATGGTCAATCAAATTGCATTTTTTTTTTCGTGCATCAGGTGCCGCTGGTGCCCCTTTGAACCATACCCCAGCTTTGGAGCCGCTTCTAGACAGGACCATGTCCTGACATAGTCGTGGCACACAGCGAAAAACATGGGGGAAGCGCAAGGGAAACTTCAATATGGAGAAGACAACTATAGTACCATCCGAAAATCGAACATAGCAATGGAACATCTCCCAATTAGTTCAATGATTTTCCCAGCTAAAAGTTCCATTGCCATGTTTGATCAGAGGGTAAAATAGGTCTATGTTTGAAGTGTGGCAGGATGCGTCAGGAAAACCGCGGAACTCCACGAAACTTGCGACGTTTCGGCCAGGCGTGGGCGGAGTCGCAGTGACAGTGAGGCACTCAGGGGCCCAGGCCCCGAGCCCGGACACAGTTTGCTATGGAAAATCATGGAAGATCCATGCAAACCCAGTTTTGACGGGTAACTCATCGAACTATTTCGAAGTGAATGGGCAAATGAGATGATGAAGTCACTTTGAACATGTTGCCGAAACCAAACCAGAAGGATGCGACGTGGGGTCCGCAGCAAGTTTTGGATTTGACAGCAATTGGGGTTAATTACTGATATTATAGAACGTTGGCATGTTACACGACGATAATGAAACGGGCTATGTCTAGGCATGCTAGCGTGGGATTGGAAAAATGTTCCGCAAAGATTGGAAGTTGATCAGCGTGACTTCGGATGAGGGGTGGTGTTATGTGATGTTAATGGCATGTGGTTCTAAAATGTCCACACGTTGCCGGGCAGACTGATGGATGGTTCTTGAAATTGGACGCCCAAACATCATGGCGAAAATGGATCATGCCCGTAGGCCATCCAAGAACAGTACGGTCTCCGATTTTCGGACACATCCATCATTTTTGGAATTGGTGGGGGGCATACCCCCCTACATACAGTAGCCTGTACAATATAAATGGTACATTACAAAAATTCCTCCTCCAGCAACAAGGTGGTAGCAGACACTCGCGGCAGCGAAGCCGCGACTCGCTTGCAATTGCAACGGTGGATGGATGGGAAATGGTGGAACAGTGGAACTGTCCCACTGGATGATGGGAAAGTTTAACCATGTTTCGCCCATAGGAACTTCCATACTTTTTGGGTAAAATTTCCCTTAAACCAAGCCACGGTTTTCCGCACTCCCAATTAGTGACGACTATTCCACAGCATGCAAAGCTTTCGGCCCACTTGTTTTTGAGTGGGTGATCGTCGTTTTGATAGGGGATCCCGGGGCAAAAGTTTGCAACATTTTGCAAGCAATTTTCCTGACCAAGATTTGCAAGAAACCTCTACGATGATTTTTCAGGATTTTTTCAAGCCATCGGTTTTGCCGTTCCAAGCTGTTTCTACTCGGATTTTCGCAGCAAAGACTTCGAGCTATACTATACGCTCTGGTAAACTAACGTAGCTATCAAAATCACCGTTGTTAATAAGGAAACCAACTATAGATTGCCATTTTCAATATAGCTATGTTAAATCACCAGAGGGTAAACCCCAGTGATCCCAGTGATGCACCAGGTGACGGCCGGCGGCGCGACGAGCGCAGCGAGCGCAGCGAGCGCAACGAGCGCAACGAGCGGCGGAGAGACAGTCGGGATCGCCTGCGCCTCAGATCCCCCGATCCTGGAGGACAAAATCAAAGCATCAACAAATTGGGATTTCATGGGATTTAATTTAATGGGCTTTAATGGGATTCATGGGATTTAATTTAATGTTTAATTTAATGGGTTTTAATGGGATTTCATTGGATTTAATTTAATGGGTTTTAATGGGATTTCATAGGATTTCATGGGATTTAGTTTAATGAGATTTAATGGGATTTCATGGGATTTAATTTAATGGGTTTTAATTGGATTTCATGGGATTTAATTTAATGGGCTTTAATGGGATTTCATGGGATTTAATTTAATTGGTTTTAATGGGACTTCATGGGGTTTAATTCAATGGGTTTTAATGGGATTTCATGGGATTTAATCGGATTTCATGGGATTTAATTTAATGTGTTTTAATGGGATTTCATGGGATTTAATTTAATGGCTTTTAATGGGATTTCATGGGATTTATATAATTTAATGGGATTTCATGGGATTTCATTTAATGGGTTTTAATCGGGTTTCATGGGATTTCATTTAATGTGTTTTAATGGGATTTCACGGGGTTTCATGGGGTTTAATTTAATGGGTTTTAATGTGGTTTCATGGGATTTATTTTAATGGGCTTTAATGGGATTTCATGGGGTTTAACTTAATGGGTTTTAATGGAATTTCATGGGATTTAATTTAATGGGCTTTAATGGGATTTCATGGGGTTTAACTTAATGGTTTTTACTGGAATTTCATGGGATTTAATTTAATGGGTTTTAATCGGATTTCATGGCATTTAATTCTATGGGTTTTAGTGGGATTTCATGGGATTTCATGGGGTGTAATTTAATGGGTTTTAATGGGATTTCATTGGATTTAATTGAATGGGATTTCATGGGATTTTTAATGGTTTTTTTTTGGATGTTAATGGGGTTTTGGTGTGAATACAACAGGACTGGTGATCTACTGGAGGTATCATGGCATAATCTAGGAGTTTGCAATGGAAACCATGGCAAATGGCTCACTTAGTTCAATGATTTACCGATGAAACAGCTAATTGTCCATACTTATGTTAAATTACCAGAGGATGCAGTACTAGAAAGTTGACATAACATGTCTTTGCTGAAATTATATGAAATAAGATAAGATTTGATGATTTCTGTGAGATCCCCACCGATTTGTTTTTCTTAACATGAATTTTATGTACAACCTTTTCCTGGATCTTTTACCACAGTGGAAGGTTGCATTACACAAGGCACCACTTAACTAAAATGCACCCTGAGAATCATTACCTTGTTAGAGGAATGAGGATGGTAATGGATGGTATATAGTCTTGCAACTTTTCACAGGAGGTTCTTATAGGCTAGATTTGTCCCAATTTCTGGGGGGAGCAACTTGATGGGTACCGCTTTGACCGCCAAAAACGGCGGAAACGGACAAAAGAAATAGGGGGTTAGGTATCATAAATGGGGGTAAATTAACTGGTGATTGTTAGTTTAGTATGGTTTTCTTTCCATTTGATTGATGCCAGCGGAACACTATTTTTGGCCGGACATCTAAGTTTTGCCACGGTGGTACTCCAACTTCTGCAGGGTTTCTGATAAAAAAACTGCCATGGATTTTGTTCTAACGGAATATCACTGTTCTTCATGGACTACTCTAGTCATTTCAGACCGAAGGCATTTTCCTATGCAATTTTTGATTGCTGGGGATTCCGGGGACATCAGTTTCACGGCCGAACAAATCACCTGTTTAAATCCAGAAGGGTTGACAATGATGGGCGAATGATGAAAGCAAAAGGTGGGATATGAATGAACATGATGGTAAACATTCCCCTACATTGCAATCATAAATCCCAGGGTTTCAAATTGGTGAAACCATGTGCTGGAAGTCATTTGGACCCGCATGTTGAGCACTCAACTGCCACTTCTTACAGAGATTTGACCTTGTTTGGGACACCATTGGGAAGTTGGTTGCTGCATTATGAAAAATGGCAATGACTGGTTGCGTAACAAATGAGCATTGAGCAAGCATCATATCTTTTTATTTGTGCCTTGTCCGCATGTATACACATGCTTCATATGTAGTCTGCACATGCAACACAGTATGTGTCGCGCGATACAATATGTATATATATATATAACATAATATAATATAATATAACATAACATAATATAATATAATATAATATAATATAATATATAATATATATTCACAATACAAAGTAACACAGACACATGTATGTATGTATGTATGTATGTATGTATGTCTGTGTGTGTATGTGTGTATGTGTGTATATATATATATATATCTATATGCATACGTGTATATGTGTATACATACGTGCTAATGTGGAAAGCCCTTAAACATCACCTTAAATGGATTGCATAAACCAACCCCAAATGGTAGGTTGGTATGTTTGTGGCATTGGGTTTTCCACATCGGAGACTCGCACAGGAAGTCGTCGAAGGCAGATCCTCTTGGGTTTTCGGGCGAGGGTGGTGAATGGATGATGGATGTAGTTTGAACAGTTTGCACCCATAAGATTATGGATTTTCCAGTTTTCTATATTATTGCCAGTATATGCCAGTATATGTTTTGTAAAATTGATTGAAATACTATTGACATAGTTCAATAGTTTAAACAGATGCATCTTTTCTATGCCAAGTTTACCAGAAGGTCGTAAAACCCATTCGGAGTCCAGGCATTGACCGGCCGCGTGATTGTTGAATGAGCGACATAGCGACATGGAGCCAGTTATGGTCGGATTCAAAAACGATCAGGAACACAAGATGAAGAACTTCTCCAAAATCATGTTAGAAAAGGTAGGTGTAAAACGTGTAAAAGTTGCAGTTTCCCGATGTCTCCCAGATTTGATTCATGCCTCAGGAAGCCATGAAAAAGACATGAATAAGGTAGGCAAACGCAGCATTTCACGACAAGTCGGGCAGCTTTTCACGATGCGCGATCTGCAGAACTGTCGTGAACAGTTCTGCTTGTCTCACACGGATGGTGTGAGGCTGACGCCCAAAAACGATTTGATGCCGGTGATTTTTTTTCATGTTTTTTCCGGACTCAGATTTGTAACTCACCTTGGGTGAATTTGAAAATGATGTGGAGAATTCATTAAAGTTTCATCACGTTTTGTTTCTGTACGGCTCGGTGGGTGGTGCACGGGGCTGCTATGTGGATATACCGCAGTGAGAGGATCAGGAGACCAGGAGCAATGAACTTTTCAGCCACTTCCCAGGTGGTTTGTGGATGTTGGTGGTTTGGTACATGAATTTTATTAATTTCCATATATTGGGAATAATATATAACCCCAACTGACGAACTCTGATATTTTTCAGAGGGGTAGGTTGAAACATGTTGAAACCACCAACCAGAGATATATCATGAGTGCAGACATAGCTAAGCTAGCATAGCTGCAGCTTCGATGGAATCATCTGAAGTTTGCACTTTCACCAGGTCGCAGTTGACTAATCATGACTAATCATGATTAATCATGATTAATCATGACTAATCAAATCATGACTAATCATGACTAATCACTACTAATCACTACCCCAATGATTCTCCAGTGACCACGCTACGAGAATCGCCAAGTGAAGTCAGCGTGGCACCGGTGCCTGGATGTCAGCGTGCCACTTAAGCAGCACATGTTGCCTCGATGCGCTGGAGATGGCCTGCGTTGGTCAGATGGCCCCAGCAGATCGTTGTGGAAGTTCTGTAAGGATCTCATGAGAAAGATAGAACTTGATAGAACTTAATGGAAAAAGGCTATTGAAATAGTGGATTTTCCCATTAAGAATGGTGATTTTCCATTGCTATGTTAGTTCACCAGAGGGTAGTTCTTCCATGGTTCCATGGTTCCCTGATTTTTGCTTGATCTATTTTGATTCACATTGATGGTGGTTGACTTTTCCTATTTTGATTTAGGGGACCGGTATAGATCCCTAAAATGAGCGTTTTTGAATAAAGAACGGGTACCCAAAAACATGGAAGCAGACCCAGCACATTCCGCCAGTGTTTCTGAGGCTTTGACTAGCATAACGGTCATATCGGCCTGGAGCTAAGAGGATGAGGAATCGAATGTGGCAATGGACCATCCACCATAAATGGATTATATAATCTGAAAATCATCGAACTAATGAAATGGGGGATTGTCGATTGCCAAAGTGTAGAGTTTTTGGTGGTTCTTGTGGATGCTCTTGAACATTGCTGGAGCAGGAAAAGTTTAGCCTCTGCTAAACTAGCAGAGCTATGAAAGTTAAACACCATTGCTAACAATGATAAATCATCAAACTAAATGGTGTTCCATAGCACTGGCGGGTACCACTTTGTAGGTTTGTAAACTGGTTGGTTCCATGGCTCCAATGGCATCTAAAGTGTTTGTAAACTGGGGGGTCTCAACCAAAGCTATGGCAATGGTGTGACCTTCCCCAAAACCCCTCTTGGCTGCCTCGCTCAGTTGTGCTTGACGGCCAGTCAACTGCATCGAAGCCAGCACGGGGGCATGGAAGCCGATTGGAACTATCCAGGGTTTCTTTGGGAAACGTTGGACATATTTAGAAAAACATTGGGTTTATTGATGTTGGACACATTGGAAACTATAATTTAGACTGGAAACTATCATTTAATTTAGAGACACATTAGATTTGGAGAGGGGCTTGTTGCCAGCGCTGGAAAGTTGGCTTTCCTCATGTTCGGCTGTATCCTTTGGGAAATGGTCATAATCAAACAGGATGTTTATTCCAGGAGGAGGCCTTTCTGTAGATTTGTTGATGTGGAGTTCCCATTGGAATGGCAACTGTCGCTTGCTTAAGCTCCGACATCCCCCAAGGTTGGTCGGTCGAGAGGCTGGGACAGACCAGGACCGGTTGTGGCATGGTGGCAGGGCAAATTGAAGGTGCAAGGGACGGGGAATGCTCATGAATTTCCCTAGCAATCCCATGGAAATTGTGAAGAATTTTCAATTTAATCCTATAGAAATCCCATTTAAAAAAATCCCATGGTTTCCTACATTTTCCTACTCTCATGACATAATTGACATAGGACTCCTCATCAGTGGACGAGAGCCGGCCTTAGCATCATGAATCCACTCAGCGCCGGAACACCGTGAAACATATTGTCATAGAACTGGATGATGGGAAAATTTACAGGAAAGCTCTATATTTGATGGTAAAAACCATGGTTTCCGGTTAAGATTTTCCCAACAAAACCAATCCATTGATATTGGAAGCCCCCAAAACTGGACCCGTGCTCCTTGATGCCTGAGGCTTATTCACCTATGCATTTGCGGCGACGACTCAGATTTCCGTCAGGGGCTAATCCAACAGAGCGCCGCGGTCGGACCATTGGGACCTTAATGGGAAAAACCATTAGACATGTCCAATATGATTTTGAGCTTCCCCATTTCAAGAAACCCTTTCATCTATATATATCATTCTATATCTATCATTATCTCTCTCTCTCTCTATATATATAGTTAATTATATTCATATATGTGTGTGGTATATATGTATATAGAGTATATATATATGTTATATACATATATATATAGATATAGATATACCATTGATTCTCCAGACTTCAAGCCTCCCCAGGTCCAGCAGTGGTGGCCATTCGCTCGGCGGTTGCGTCAGCGCGACAACCTGAACGATTTGTGTTCTTCGACGTCGGAGGGACCCCCGGAGGGGGTTTTTGATCAGAAGTTTATCAAGGGTACCCCTGGTAGCCTCTGGTAATTTGTTACATAGCTATTGAACATGGCCATTGATAGATAGTGGATTTACCCAGCTAGAAAATGGCAGTTATATGAATGTTTAATATGTTTACCAGAGGTTTTTTTTAACCGAGCTATGGAATATGAACCATAAAATAGATGTTTTACCTATTAAAGATGGTGATTTTCCAGATCGCAAACTGTTAGTTTACCAGAGGGTAATGGTCATATTAATGGTAAATTAAAGGTTCCAATATCTCAATATTAATGGTATATCAATGTTATCAGTTTATTTTCATGTTAATGGTAACTTGTATGTAATGTTAATGGTAATATTGGTTATTAATAGTAGTTAAGTAGGACAAAATACTACTTAATGGTAAAGTAGAGATTTGCAGTGTCTTTTTGCTGGGATCAATTTGGACAGTTCCTAGTAAACTATACCGATTCGACGTGGATTTGTCAAAGCCCGCTGGATACTTTCCATTCCTCCTAAGCAGTAGGGTTTAGGACGTGCCTTAGCCTCTTTGCCTGTGAGGCCTTAGAGCTATCCATAAAATTTCTAGAGCTATTCATAAAATGACAGTCAAATCCCCAGAGCTATTCCTAAAACTATGGCCAAATATGCAGAGCTATTCCTAAAGCCATGGCCAAATTAGTAGGGTTATTCCTAAAAATATTGTTGAACTGGAAAGCATATTCCCAAGAATGGTCAACTTGTATCATGGCATGAATAAACCACAAAGTTGACCACGAATACCTGGCCATACACAAACACTACCAATGTAAACATAAGGTATGTGTTAGTTCATGAACTCGGCCACAAAAATGAGAACATAGAGTATCAAATCATGCAACCATGCATATGGGGCTAACATTCTCTATTTGCATTGCAGTTGCTTAACAGAAAGTTCCATTACAAGCGCACTACTTCTCACGTAGGTATATCCTCAAAGTACATGCAAGGGAACTAAGCAACGTACCCATACGACAAACCAAAACTCGTTCAAGTAAACCTTCAAAGAACACCACTTACATACTGTGCTGAAAATTGTGACTGGCTCTGAGATCATTGGAGTCATTAAATGATGACTACTCTATGACTATGGACTTACACTAGGAGACTATGACTATGCTTTGATTTGATTCGAGATCAGACAAGTTAATAGTCAAAACTGGAGTTTAGAAACCAATAGCTTACGGCTCTAACTGAGGTACTAAAGGAGATAACCAATAATTGACTAAGTGACGACCAAGTACATAAGAAATGTCAAGTTTCACGAATCATCGTCATGAAAAAACGAATATCAAACACCATCAACAAAATGCATCATACCAAAAAAACTGATTTATGATCAACTTTTTTGATAGGGTAAGATGCCTAATGTTAATGAGTAAGTGGTATGCTAAGGAATGGCTCGGAGCGGTTCAGAGCGGTTCCTCAGCATGATTTTAGGAATAGCTCGGAGCGGTTCAGAGCGATTTAGAACCATTTCTAAAAAAAAACCTTTAAAGAATGCATATAGTTCAGAGCGGTTCAGAGCGGTTCAGAGCGATTTCTAAAACTTGAAAGCTTATGAATGGTTCTAAATAGCTCAGAGCGGTTCAGAGCTATTTCTAAAACATGGCTGAGGAATAGCTCGGAGCGGTTTAGAGCGATTCCTCATCACCCCGAAATCACGAATGTAGTCTCATCCTGTTTTTTTCAAACAACAAGATTGGAACAAAATCATACCTATTATATTAATTTCATATATTCATTTAATATATATATATATATTATCATAAATTGTGTTAATGTGTTATGCTCTCTTGTGTTTTGTGTGTTTCTGATCTCTTCAAGTAGTTCTCAAGTCACAATGATTACAGCTACTATTGACTATGACTTTCTTACCATCTACTTACAACTTGGAACGAAACCGGACATGATTACAACCAAATCTTAGTCATGGCCTGGTTGGCTGGGGATTATACCAACACAAAGAAGTGACAATAGGAATGTGGTGGGACTAAATTTGGAGACCAAACACTCATTGAGAAAAAAATAGTTGAACACCCGGCGTGACTGGACTAAACTACACCAAACCAATGAGGGACAGCCAAAGATTTATAGTTCCGGTTCAGGGCCTCTTTCTCACCCTTGTTGAAACCAAAATGAGAAACTGAATGGATCCGGGTCTAAAGAACGGGCCCATCCACTTTCCCGAGCCGTAAACTCTAGATGGATTGTCTAGCCATGTCTTGGAATTACATGGGAAGGGTTCCCATCTTGGAAGGATTCCCAAGGGATGGGGGTCTTGGTAACGAATAGCTAGCTCTACAGTTCCCCCAGATTTTTTTTTGGGAATAGCTCTGGAAATTTTGGGAATAGCTCTGGGAATTCCTTGAGATTTTTGGGAATAGCTCTGGGGATTCCTTGAAAATTTTGAGAATAGCTCTGGAAAGGAATTTAAAATTAGGTCTCTCCAGTCTTTGAAATTTTGGTTCCATGCCCCCGGCCCGGAAAGCAAACCCCGGATTGCAAGATTTCCTCTCACGGGAATGTCCCTCAAACCGTCACAAGAATACTCAACCCTCGGCCCCGCCCCCAAAAACCGGGTTTTGATTTGAACCATCGGGGTCGGAGGCATTGGGTGGGATATTGAAACCTGGGGGATGGCAGTTGGCCCCCCAACTAGATGGCATTGAAGGGCACGCAGAAGGGATTAATATATGCTATTATAAGATAGGATTTGATTTGATTTTAGATTTACATGCCATACCAGCCACCATGGCCTTGCTTATTACCAAACGACCAATGGTCAGTGACCCCTGTTTACTGCACGCGAAACCACTCACAATTATGAATCGGAACGGGCATTTATCATGTTACATACTCTGTAACTCTTTTCCAAAAGAACATTGCAGATGGGTTGCTGAACTTGTTCATTCAGATCAGTGATTTCCGATGGAAAGGTGAACATTGAATGGTGAGTTTACCTGCAGTTCTCACCTACAGAGAATGATATAATGACCGGGTATCACCGCATTCTATTACCAAAAGATCCTCCTTTCAGAAGAAATGGTGCACTGAGACTTAAAGGTTTAATTTCATGAAGTATTCTGCTTTCAGGCTTCCATGACAAGGAAATGCCGAGTTCATCATGGATAATTGACGACTATAGTGATGCTTCTACACTCTATCAATAAAAAAAGGGTTGACTTGACACGATATGACATGATCCGACTGTATGACACAAACAGAGAGATGAGTTGCTGTGTCATGATGACATGAAAAATGATATGCGAATGTGGCCATGATATGGTTCATGCTGGTCATGAACTGCCGGAATCACAGAAGGATATTGATAGATAACATTCAACCGTTCAACCCCTAGAAGGAAATATATATATATATATAGCTGTATATATATATAAATAAAAAATATATATAATGATATTATATATAGCTAGCGGCTGGTGCAGTGTAGTCATGACTCGTGCATGGAAGATTCAGCAGTCCATGGGTTTCAAGAACCATGGGCGAATCAGCTCCGGAATGACATTGAAACATTAAATTACGGCCAGCCAAGGAAGTTATATGATGACAATGGCTATAACTACTCATGAAGCAATGAGTGGGAACATATGGGAACCATACCTTAGCATGATGCCAGTTATGGCATTGGTCAAATACTTAATTCCGGGGGATCCCCGCGAAAAAGCCTAGGCACACGCTGCTTGACAACCCTGGCACATGAGTTAGAATCAGTGAGGGCACCCCTATTGTATGATTAACTGAGGCTTATTTTGATGGGCTTGGATATCCTGTGGCCATAAAATGTAACATTGTTGCAACATGCAACATTCATGAAATCCTTCAGTGGAAACAATGAACGGTGATTTGTTGGTTCATTGGTGTGTTTTGAAATCTCAACCAATACAACGGAAGAACGTGCGAGGTCCCCGTCGACCAAAGACCACTTATTTCCAATAACATGTGTAGGTGGAACCTTGGGTATACTTGAGTTGGTCACACTTACATTGAAGGGGCCCCTGTTCCAACACAATCTCAATATTGTGCACAATGAATTTAGGAACAGTTCTGGGACATCCTTGATGTCATTTTAGGAATGGTTCTGAGAAATACTTCAGAAAATTGGGAATTGCTTTGGGGTTTCCCTGAAAATTTTGGGAATAGTTTTGGAAATTCCTTTAAAATTTAGGAATGGTTCTGAACAGATTTTATTATTCTGGGACATCCTTGAAAATTTAAGGAATAGTTCTGGGAATTCCTGGAAAATTTGGGGAATAGCTCTGGGATCCTCACAGAAAGCTCAAATAAAGAGGCTAAGGCATCTCTTAAAGTAGGGTTCAACAAGCACTTCAATGACCTTCCATTTCTGATTCTTTACATTCTTTCTCAAGAGGTTGTCCGGTTTTCCATAATCCATCATCCATCATCCATATGTCAACAAACTATCCATTTCAAAAAACCATGTTCGGAGTTTCCAGGACCATTTCCATGTCATTTCCATGTCATTTCCATTCATTTTCTGCTGCTCCCCAGCAGCTCCCAGTTCACCGAGGTTTCACTTCATCACGACCCCCGACTTATCTGTGCGCTTTGCCCGTGCTGCGCGACTCCAGCTTCCAGGCATCCACGTGGAGGCGGCCGTTCTCCCAAGGATGGCTTTGAAATAGTGAACATGGAGAAACGACATATGTTATTATGAAGATGATATATGAACATATATGAACATGATGTGATTTATGAAGATGTATGAAGATATTTTTTGATGATATTTTTTGATGTGATTTATGAAGATGTATGAAGATTCACGGATATTTGATATTGATATGATACTCGTATCATTGATATCAAGTACAGCAGATATTTTGTTGTAAACCAAAGATGCAGAAGATTTCCGAAGATTGGTGCCACGTTCCTTTTCCATCGGGCTGCCAGGTGCATGCGGACGAGGATGTCCAGAACACCATCCAAAGTCGCATTGAATTCCGCAGCAGTGCAGGCGGGCCGGCCCACGATGACAAGGAAACGAATGTACAGTACCGTAATCTACCATCTATGATCTATAATCAGAATATATATATATATGGATATGATTTTTAAATATTCTGAAGATGTTTATAGATTCTTTAGTGTTTAATGATCTTTCAACTCATTCTAGCTATACCTTGAAGATATTTATGATATTTGATGTTGAATATGTTTGGATGATGTCCTAATACCATTTCACACCTTTGAAAAAAGGGATAAAAAAAAGAAACGTCTGAAAAATACCAGGTTTGGCCTACCAATGTCAGAGAGGATCTCCACGTTGATGTGGGTTTGTTTGAGGATAGTTTGTTTTCTGCCCATTTTTGTTTTTGGTTTTGTGTTTTCAAAATCATGATCAAAAGAACAACTTTGGAGCTGTGGATGTCGCCCAATGTTCTGACAAACCCGTGTAGCTTATTTTGAGAAGATTTTCTGATCACGGCTCAAAATGCAGGGCGAAAAGGCCTCGCGAGCGCTTTCAATTTCGCACCGTCACGAGCTTGGTGGGCCTCCTTACTGGTGCTAAACGTAGAGAATGGGGGAATGGGATGATTGTTAATAGTTATGGATAACTCCCCCCATTCCCTACGTTTAGCACCAGTAACGGCCATTCTTCCAAGGAAATGATGCGGTTGTCAGCTGTTTCGATGCTAGGGGTTTGAGGCCCTGAAACTGGGCAGTCTTCGAGTGCGCGAAATGGTGCTTGCTACATCTCTACTTTGTTTTTTCCGATGTTTTTGTGGAAACACCATGAAAACCCACTCCGGAGATACTGGTATGATATGGTATGATAGAGTGAGATTCAAGCCGAACAAGGACATGATGTTTAAGCGATGTTTGCTGCAGGTTTTACTTGCCTCTCTTCCTGCCCAAGGCTGAGTTTGGAACTGACTTCCATGACCCAAGGGGCCTGGCTTGCCCACGAAAACGCATTCACTGAGGTCTCAGTCCAGCGAAACCTATTCGGCCCAAACAAGGAGGCCAGGTGCAGTGCTAGTTGTGGCTGATTGGTGAGGCACTAGAGTCACTAGAACCCCGAGGTTGATATATTTCGATGCAGATATCGTCATCCTTGGCGACCTTGCAGACATTTTTGCCCGAGCCCTCAGACTGAAAATGAGTGCAGCTGAGTGCAAGTCTCATGTGACCGCTAAGGACATGGATATGGAGGGCAAGCCTTGTGCGGCAGTGCCCTACTGCCACCAGAAGCATGGGAACTCAGTGCACCGTTCCGGGACGCGCTCCAAAGAGATTGAACCCCCCATGTGAGTGGCAAAAGGAGTACTGAAATCCGATATCAACCGATAGGGGACGACCCTAATTTATGTAGTGCATTAAATTCAAAAAAATATTTTGTCTGCCACTAATGTGAATCATGACAGATGATGACAGGGTCTTTCTTTGTCTTGGGCCTGCTTTCATGAAGAATTCGCATCCGTGGCTCGTGGCATGTGAGGATGGCAAAGTACATCAATTTCAACGTCCTCAAGACTTTGCCGTATTTGGGTGACACAGAGTTCCAGCCCCAGTGGCTGCTACCCACTAGGTCCATCTAGGTCCTAGGTTCGTAAAACATGTTCAGTCTGAGCCCTTGCAAGCCTTGCACGATTCAAATGATGAACGACCCAGTATTATAATCGATGTTCCATTCCTACTTTTTCAATAGTAACTTCATAACTATGATATCTGCTTGGTGCTTTGGAACATGAATTTTATTGTTCCATTCAGTTGGGAATGTCATCATCCCAACTGACTTTCACTCCATCATTTTTCAGAGGGGTAGGTTGAAACCACCAACCAGATGGTTATTAATGGTTATATATGGTTATTAATAATGGTTAATGGTTATTCATGGTGGTTAATGGTGGTATACCACCAACTCATATATATATATATATATAGATGTATAATGTATTATTGGGATTAACTATATATATATATTATATATATAGTTAATCCCAATAATACATGGGTCCAATCCCAACCCCCTATAGTTAAAGATCGATGATTTCGCCTGAGGGAAATCGATCCGGGCTCCTGCATAGCAAATCGCGGGCTGCTACTCATTGATGCCTTGATCTCAGACGGCACGTGCCTCTTCATGGCTTGGAATAGCTTATATTTGCATGACATGTGTTGAAATATGTAGGAAATATGTAGAAATATGTGGAAAGATGTAGGACATATGTGGAAAGATCTAGGAAATATGGAAAGATGTAGGAAATATGTAGAAATATGTGGAAAGATGTAGGACATATGTGGACAGATGTTGGACATATGTGGACATGTGTAGGAAATATGTAGAAATATCTGTAGAGAGACATGTTTTGACATCCTGTGTGTGATCATATGTGTGATCATATGTGTCAAAACTGAGCCCCTCCACACGCACACCTATAATTATGTACATCTATACGCATCTATCTACTGTATATGTCACATATATAACTAAGTATATAGCTATATATATATAGTTATTTAAAAATATATAGTTATATATATATATAGTTTTTTATATGTATATATATAGCTATATATATAGTTATATATATAGTTATATATATATAGTTATATATATAGTTATTTATATAGTTATATATATAGTTATGTATATATATATAGTTACATATATAGTTATATATATAGTTATATGTATATATGTATAGTTATATATATAGTTATATATATATAGTTTCATATATAGGTTAGAGATGGTGCCATTGAAACTTTAAGAACTTGGCACCCAGCAACTTTGGTGTTTTCGCCGCAGGTGAAAGTCTGGTCCTCTCTGAAGCTCACCGAATCGATCGAACTGTGGCTGGCCTGGGGGCCCAGGGGTGAAGCAGCTGTTGGAGCGTCCACCTGTACAATGTTTTGTCGGTATCCTAGGGCCTAGGGCTTTGGAAATGAAAAACTCTGGAAATAAGATTTAGAGAATTTTTAAGAATATTTAAGATCAATTTTGACGTACAGTTTTTCCACTTTCCGAGCATAATGATGGGCGCACACAACATCTCAAAGCATGACCCACCAGATGCCTTGGTTTTGGCTGACTCAGGAGCGCTACCGCGCAGCAGACGGAGAGCTTTGGGTGCGCCATAACGGCCATGTGCTTCTGATCAACTCGCCGTTTAAGTTGAGTTTACTATCTGAATATAAGGGAGTTCTAAAAAACAGTCATGAGTCATAGCTCTTAAACCAATGCTGGGAGATGCAATGCTGGATATTCTGGATGTCATATTTATATATATATATAATATATATATATAGTATAGGTAATTCATGAATTCTTCCAGGTTGTCCTGAGTCGTGCTGGCTGGTGCAAGTATGCCAAGTATGAGATGATTCTTGATGAATCCAGATGCAAAAAGAGAATTGTATCATAATTGGTACTGTAGAGTTGACTAGATGACTTTTCCTTGGATTCTGGAGATGATTTATGATCTAGTATCATATTATATCATATCATATCATAGCCATGAATGGCATGTTCATTTTGTTGATCTGGAAATTGCCTTTAAAGGACCATTCAGTCCCTTACGCCAAGCCTCTCCATTTCACGGTGGCGCGCCGATTTTCTGCAGGTCAATGGCATGTCACAACCTCCTTGGCTCTTGGCAATGAATGGCAACTATATGCGCCTCAATGCGGCTCCTGGGCTACAGATTTTGATCCAAATGGCTGCCATTATTTTTTCCGGCTGATCATGGCTACCTGATGCAAGTTTTCTATGGCTGAAGTTGGAAACACCGCAAACTTGTTTTGGGAATATATGAGTGTGGCAGAGCTTCGTGAAGACGCAAATGGTCAGAAAGGTGCTGATTGTCTAAAACTCTCTCTTTCTCTCTGTGTCTTAAGACAAGGGATTCATGCTATCGCACAACGCTGTAAATTCCTAGCTGCAGGGAAAACCGTTGGAAGATGTTGGAAGCTCCTCGATCCAGTCGTTTAGACCAACTTTGATGCATTAGGCTCAACTTTGTATGATGTTCATGCTGGCATTTCCGCACAAACCTTGGTTGTGTAGTCCAATAATTCATTAGTGTTCTTACCATTTGGCTGGGGAGGTACATGGCACCCAGCTAGACACAGTAATACATGAATATAAAGGGGTTGGGTCAGCTTCTTTGTCTGTGGTATGCTGCTAAATTATACAGAGCTATTATGAGCTATTCTTAAAATATACAGAGCTGGCTCTAAATTCTACAGAGCTATTCCTAAAATACACAGAGCTATTTCAATAACATACAGAGCTCTATATATATATGTCAAATATAGATATTTCCTTTATAAAGATCCATTTCTCAAAAAGATGCCAATTATGTTTCAAGCGTTTTTTCTCCATAGATTTTCCATATATTATCATATATTATATTATCAATATTTTCCCATATTTTCCCATAGTTTTCCCATATGTTCCGGGCATTTTTCACATCTCCAGAAGCGTGGACGTGGTGCCAGGATTGGAATTGCAATAGTCTTGGACGCCACTCCATGGATCCCACAGAGGCATGGGAATTTTTGGTGGTCCTATGGGATGTTCAGCCATGATATTGGTGATGAAATATCCCATGATGTGGTTAAAACAATAAACCATCCCCAAGTCATCACCATTTTTATATATTTTTACCATCCCCAAGTCATCACCTTTTTTACATATTTTTATGGGTGGTAAGTAGAAACCATTCCCAGTCATGGGTGGTAAACATCGCTTTGTTTCAACCTCATTAGGAATATTGGTTATAAAATGTTGTAAATATTATTATTTTTACATAGGAATATGATTTATGGGTTATGGTTATAAATAATATGGCCAGTAATCTTTCTGGAATATTCATTGCTTATTCAGTGGCCCAGGTAATATAATGCTGGAAGATTCTATGGTCATATTCTTATGGCCATGATTACCTGATTACCTGGGATATCAATCCTTTTACTTTTCTTTGCAGTAAATTAGAGTTTGAGCGTGGTGAATGTTCAGCCACGTTTATGAGCCGAAGGAAAACCACAAACAAATCACAGAACAATAGTGATTGCCGAAGTTGTTTTCTTTTTGGACAATTCCTTCCCCTACTATTACTATATAATACTATATACACCCCACAAAGAACCACAGTTTAGTAATGTTTAGTAGGGATTTTACACATAGGATCCTTTTAGGGTTCCCCTCTGGCCGGCGGGCTACGCGAGGCAGCACAACTCCGGAAGATGGGGTTGGAACCTCACGACTCCTGCTGGCGAACCGCTGTTGAAAATGGTCTATGTATATAGTTGGCTTAGCTATTAAAAATGGTGATTTCCCATAGCTATGTTAGCTTACCAGAGGGTAGATATTTTAACTTCCATCTGTAAGTCGGAGAATGATCCTCACTGATAGTTTTCGAGGGTGTGTGGCTAAACCACCAACCAGTTGCTCTGTTTCTGCCCTCTTTTTTCGAGACAGAATCCCGCATCACCCAGGTTTGAGGAAGAACACCTCACATCCTTGAGGGTTCAGCACTCAGTTTCGGAGCAATCCCACCATCATTTATCTATCCATGCTGTAAGATAGTTCAGATATATTTCAGATATATTTCAGACATGTCAGCTGTGTAAAAAAACATAAATCATCACCCATCATCACCCCTTTCCCATGTTTTTGTTGGTCACTGCCAGGTTGAAACCACTAGCTGGGGTCTGGTGCCATACGTCGTCCCCTCAGCCTTGACCACCTGATCCACTCAACCTCACCGCGCCGGCAGCGGTGAGGTTGTTACGTGCAGCAGCACGGCAAAGCTCTTGCACTACAATGGCGTCCCTGGGATCTTTGTTGATTAATGACTGGTTGGTGGTTTGGAACATGAAATTTATTTTTCCCATCATATTGGGAATGTCATCATCCCAACTGACGAACTCATATTTTTCAGAGGGGTAGGTTGAAACCACCAACCAGATGATGTGGGAAACGCTGAGTTTTTTTTTTTACGCTGCCATTTTCAGATCCACTGGGGTTGCTTGGTTGGAAATCCCATCCAAGTAGAAATGCTGATGACTTGGAGATGGTTTGTCACACTAATATATACCACCTAATATACACATACATTGTTTCATATGTGTATCTAAAATTGATAGGTGCAGTGCTGTGCAGTGAATACCTGTTATTAGAAGATGCGATCGTAATACTTTGATTTAATACGTTTGAGATCATTTGGGTCCATCTGAAAATAGGGAACGACCATTCAAGAGGCAATTTTTTAGCGGTGAGGAATGACGGCTTTAACCATCTATTTTCTGGGGCCCATTTTATGGGGAAAGTCTATTGAAAAATCACCAACTCTGCATGGTTTGGGGACAAAAATTTAAGAGACGCTCTTGTTCTTTTCCGAGGAATGAACACGGCAAGAAATGGCCTATATTTTTTTAAAGCAACAATCAGTGACAAACAAATGGTAATCTTTGTCCTCAGAGTTTGCTATGTCAGTTTCGGTCGTCAGGCGATGAAACCTTGGCTGCTGGATAGTGACACAGTTCAGGTTCCGGCTTCGGGCCCAGGTGGATCTTCACCACGGTGGAGGGATTGTAGCCATGCTTGAAGACTTGCCGTTTTTTCATGGGGGTTGGATGGGCTCAGATATGTATCATACATCCCTTTCAAAGTGAAACTTGAAGCAGACCAACAAACCAGCTTCATCCAGCTTCAAAATCAGAGCCTAGGTCTGTACCATGCCCAAATCCCTGCCAGAGCCCCAGATAGCTCCAGAGTCCCAGTTGCCAGTGTCTTCCGTGAGTTTTTTCGGAGGTGAGTCACGTCACGGCTAAGGTTGGAGTATAAATTCAACTGGGTACAGGACAGCTGTGAGCTACACGCTGCTTAGTGATTTACTGGAAGTTGCCCCACCATGATTTTCCATGGGCCACCTATACCACACGGACCATGGTTCTCCAGGAGGTAGACATCCTGGGAACTACCTACACGTGAAGCGCTGAGATTTTGGTGAAAGATTTGGTTCAAGGTCACTAGGAGGGAGCCCAGGAGCTAGGGCTATCTGTAGCTATTTTCAATGGAAGCCATCAGGAGCTAGGGAATGGAGTTTCCCAACCACATCAAAGAGAAGAACCGAGAAAACCCCCTGTCCCAGGGGAATTTTCCCATGGTTTTCCCATGGCTCTCCCCAAAAAAGGTCCCCACTTGGGACAACATCCCCTCGCCGTACGGCGTAGGGTCTCCGTTGTCCGCGAAGGTTCGTGACTTGTTCCGAGATTTGGGCTCTCTTCTTGGCCGATGACTTGCTCTACAGCCAACGGCCAAAAAGATCACCCATGACTGGGAATGGTACCTCTAAAAATAGTGATCTGGGGGATGGTTTATGATTGTTGTACCCACATTAGAAAGCACTAGAAATCAACATGTAAAGCATCTATACCAGAAATTGGAAATCACTAGAAATTGGAAATGGTTGGAAATCATTTGGGAAGGGAAGGAAGAATCTCAGAGAAGTTCAGCATGGTTAGCGGGAATCAAATGGTTCTGCCACGACAAGATCGACGGTCCATCATTGATTTTCTACATGTGGCCCATCGCAACTCCGCGGTCAAGATTCGAGTTTGTGTGCTTTACAAAGCTTTATTCTATTCGTAAGCATGAACTGGTTGGTGGTTTGGAACATTTTTTATTTTTCCATATATTGGGAATGTCATCATCCCAACTGACGAACTCATATTTTTCAGAGGGGTAGGTATACCACCAACCAGATGAAAGTAGTGTCGTGCCACCATGTTTCACACTGACACCCATCCAGCAACAGCTGGGCCTTGAAAAAACCCTCTCAAGGTGAGCCAGCCAACAACACCGCAGAGGGTGCGGAGGAAATGGAGAAGCTGGCAGACGCCAAGCCTCTTGTCCCAGATCGCCGTGAGGAAATCTCCCAAATTATAGATGGATGGAAAGAAATTGATAGAGAGGCAGATAGATCGGTAGATAGATCGACAGACAGATCCGGCAATACCCTCTGGTAATTTAACATAGCTATTGAAAATGGTGATTTATAGTGGATTTTCCCATTGAAAATGGTGATTTTCCATAGTTACGTTAAATTACCAGAGGGTACCTCCAAATGCCAAATGCTGTGGGCCCACGAGCAGCTTTCCGTTTTCAGGACTTGGGCGAACAAGATCAATGCAGACAGGGAAAAGCGACAGAAGGAGCGGCCGGGCAGCGCAAGCGCTTGCGCGGCGATGTCAGAGATTGGCTGAAGCCAGCCGTAAACTCAGGGTTCGGAAGATTAACATGGGAATATAGATGAATATAGAATATATAGAATATATAAATAGATAAATAAATAGTTTTTCAAAAAGACTATAAAAGACTATATATATATATATATGAACACAAACAAACACACACACATATATATATATATATGGTACATGTGTAATATGGCTCGTTCTTTCACGCTCTTTCTCCATCCCACCTGGGACGATGTTTTTTCAATTGACCAGTATCATCGGGAGGGTTTGAATCGTTTTGATGTTGGAAGTCATAAACCAGGACAACGAAAATGGTAAAGTGCCCTGGTTATACCTCGCAACCTGAGCCCTAAAATTCACCATTCGTTGATGTTGATTTGTGTTATAGATTATAAACGTATATTAACTGCGTATATGAATGTTACAATATAGATTATAAACGTATATTAATTACGTATATATATATATATATAACACAAAAGATTACAAAAGTACAGGATCTAAACAGCGGCATATGTGCTGTTTGAAGCTACATGTTTCGTTCTCGGGACGTCTCGGGACCTGGGTGGCTCGACAAGCCAAAAAGGATAGAGAGTGGCGTGAGAAGCAGCTGGCTGAGAGGCGAAAAAAGGCCTGGCTTAGCATGGCTGGGCGCCATTGGGTTATGTTGGGGTAGAAGAATGAGAAATTCCAAGAAATTCTTCAAGGTTTTGTGTAAGTTTCAAGAACGTGTCGTAATATCATGTAATATGCATGGGAGTGTTCGTGCCCAGGGTGGACCATAGAGTATGGGACAGCTACTTCTGATGCACTGGCTGAAAAAATCAGTGAGGTCTTGGGGGTGGCCAGTTTTTTCACAAACTGAGTAAGTTTCGAGCCCCAGTTGACAGAGTTCAGCCAATCATCCACCATATACAGGACTTGTACAGTTGTTTCGGCGCTGGCCGCACAACTTCGGTAATGTTGGTAATGAACAAGCCTCGATCTGGATTGAAAGTGGTGTCCCCATGGTGATTTGGAAAGCGATAAGTGAATCAGCATGGATGTGATTGACGTTTGACTTCCCTGATAACTCATGTGCTGTTTGCCTGGGAATGTTTGACTTTACGCGGACATCTTTGACAAACAACCGGCCTGCCCTACGTAGCTGTCCATCGGTTGTGACATGTCCCCGCCAGTTGGCCGGCGGCTACTACATTGGTCAAACGATTCAAGCCGCGCATGACATCTCTGTGCCCCAGTGGTTCCCACGTGCAGCGGTTTTCTGATGCCCCAGCTCTCAATCGTTTCTGGATTCTGATTCAGTTTCAGTTTAGCGAAATGTTTCTGGGCTCGGAGGGCGTTTCAACATGTTTCAACTATAGCCAATCACATTACCCTTTGGATTTCTCTGGTAATCAACCAGTTTGTGATGTTTGCTGTGGAACATCACCATTATAAAAAAAGCAAATCGTCGAACTGAATGAACCATGGCTTCCATACTTGTTTTTTCCAATTACGAGAGTCAAAATGCGGCGCTCGGCTCTCGTTCAGCGATTCAGCGATTCAGCGGTCCAGGTACGGGGCAAAGTCGTCGTGCGGAAGAACTGCGAAGGAGTGGTGCAGGGGCCATCGTTGAACCATCCCACCGAGCGCCTCAATGTGCTCTTCAAGGCACGGGCTGCCCCGGAGCTGTCCGATGGAGTTTGGTCCATCTCGCTGTTGAGACATTGGACTGCCAGGAAAGACGCGATAAAAAGACAAGGTCCATCAACGTGCTTCCCTTTGAGGCAATGGCATACCTTAATTTGGCTGGATTTTACCCTGAGCTCTTTCGAATTTTCCAGGAGAGTGCTTGACAGGTAGTTTTTTTAATTGCCATTGATTGCTAGAAACCCAAGCTGGCCCAATTTTTGGGCAATGTCCAAGAGGACGATGGCAATTTCGCCAGTGTTCAATTTCCAGACTCCAGACGCATATCGAAGGTGAAGCCTGGAGAGGATAAAGACAAGGATGGAAAACCGGACGGCGAGATGGGGAGTTGGGTCAGCTTCACACAAGCTGATTCCGTCAGCTTCTGCCAAAGTACGTGTGCAATGGAAGCTGTTACTGCATAGTCATGGGGCGGGAGCATATTTCAACCCAATGTTCGGCCTGGGGGTCTCGAAAATCTGTGAGCTTGCTCACTCCAAAGGCACCTTGCTCGATATTGATTTATATCATGATCAATAGCAGGATTAATCATGATCTTGATCATGATTAATCACTTGTGAGTCTTCGACCTCATGCAATTTCACATTCAATCTGAAATAACTCCTTAAATGAGATGAACATGTCAGCAAGCAGCTGGCAGCACTTCCATGGCAGCCGGTAGGATGACTAAGAAGCTCTGAGCGGCGCGTAGTGTGGAGTTTCTGACTGCAGTGCGGCCCCATGGCCAGTTGCGGCCAGCTTGATGGTTCCTCAACTACCACTGCAGAGAGCAGGTTGGCCCACAATGCCTCTAAACTAGATCCACAGCTGGCAGTTTAGGGCACTAGCATCGTGATGAATCGTTTGTCCACTAAGATGTGGGAAAAAGATGGAAAAAGGCAGTGCATGCTATACTAGCAGAGGAGCTGGTAGGCAGGATAGAACGCATGGCATTAGCAAGGAAATGCACGCCGGTAGTTACTCTCAGCCCATCTTCGGTTTTGATGGCTCTGACTACATGTTCCGTTTTGGCCGCAGCCATTCTCAGCCATTGAAAGATTTTAAAGCGCCCCAACAGCGCCATGAATGAAGGAAACGGCGGTGCGAAGTGCCTTGGAGGTAGCAACTGTAGCCACCTTGGAATCACCTAAGCGGGGTACGTTCTACAGAAAGTCGGTCCCCGGAATTTGTGAAAAAAAGCAGCAGGGTGCATCTGGTGTCCGCAAGATCAACGGTTTTCTGGGACGCAAGTTATATATATCATACGGGTTGTCGTTGATTATTTTTGGGAGCGTCCTCAACATATCATATTTGTGATTATTTGTCGTAATTATATACATAATTTCCGCAATATTTATATATATATATCTAAGGATATATTGGAATGCATTAGACTGTACATGACTGTACTATATATATATAGAATACGTATTTTTTTAAAGTCCTACGTTTTTATAGGTTTCGGGTTCTTTTATGAAAACACAATCTTAAAAAACATGTAGAATATTCATGTTCGATTCTGGAAGATGCTCTTTCCCAATTTTTGACTTTTATTTTAATTCAATGCCCGGGAACCACCAATAATAATAGCTGTGGAGAGGTGCCAACTGCCTTTTTTTATTGCTTGAAATTTGGCAACTCGTGGAGGGGGTCCTTTTGTGAACTTTAAACTGCCTTCTTTTAATGTAGTGTAGACAAAAAATTGTCAATTTGGAAAACCAATTTCTTCCACAATTCAGATCCAAAAGTTATTGACGGATTGTTTTCTTGAGGGTGTTCGCTTGTATTCTCTTCTCTTCCTACCCTTGCTTTTTGTTTTTTCTGAGATGTTTGTTTTGGTTGCCATCAGTTATCAGCTGCAGAAACCCATACATAGAATATGGATGAACATGGTACATTTGTCAATACAATGATTGCCTTAAATTTGGCAACTCGTGGAGGGAACTTCAAACTGCCTTCTTTAATTTAGAATGTAGTCAACAACTGATCAATTTGGGAAGCCCATGTCTTTCCACAATCCTGATCCAAAAATTATTGACGTGTTGTTTCTTTTCAGGGTGTCCGCTTGCATTCTCTTCTATTCCTCCCCTTTCTTTTCCTTTTTTCTCAGATGTTCGTTTGGGCTGCCATCAGTTATCAGCTGCAGGAACACACACACACATATATATATATACATACATAGAATATGGATGAACATGGTACATTTGTTAATACAATGATTGCCTTATTTGGTAATTTGTAGGGGGGACCCTCTTGTGAACTTCAAATTGTCTTCTTTAATGATGAAAAATGTAGTTCAAAACTGGACAATTTGGGAAACCCATTTCTTTCCTCAATCCTGATCCAAAAGTTACCCAGAACCCAAAACCCAGGACCCAAAACCCCCAATACTAAATATGCATTCAGATTTCAAAACCCCCTGAACCACTAAAATTCAAAATTACCCCCGTCCGGGGTACCTAAATAGAATGGGGGGGCTGAAGCCCCTTTTAAAATAAAAACAATAAAAATAAAATGAAAATAAAATGGGTCAGACCCCTGCATTTTATTTTGTGGGTGCATTTTATTTTTTGAGGTGCCTAACCCATCAAGTCAACTGACAGAGATAGCATCATAGCAAAGATGCACAGCTGTGAACGGCCTGACCATTTTGTGAAACGTTCCAGCGGATTCACGAACGCTAATAAAATGATAACGAAAACGATAACTTTTGGCATCAAAAATGGTTCGTGTGAGACACTGTTTTTTTTTCCCCCCTTTCCTCTCCCTTCCCTTTCCTTTTTCCTGTCTCTTCCCTTTCCTTTTTCCCCTTTTCCTTTTGTGAAACATTCCAGAGATTTGGAATTACTTGGACATTAACTTCGAAAATGGGTTGGCCCCCCTCATTTTCTATTGCCTTCCTTGGTCAACAAAAGACACACGGGCAGCTTACAGCAGCCAATGAGATTTCTTAAGTTTATTTATATTTATTTGTATCTTTTCTAGAAACCATCCAGATGTCAGAAGTGGAACCAATTATATATATATACATATATTATATTGATCGAAATCCGCGCAATTTTTCCTTCCTGTTGGCACGTGAAAAGGCTAAACAAGACTAAACAAGACTAAACAAGACTAAACATGGTTTAAGTTAAAACCAATCAAAGAAGGAAACAAGACAAAACAAGATCAACCCAAAAGAAAATGCCGGAGCCCGAGGTCCAACAGTTGCATAATGTAGGTCCACCAGTGGCCAGGTGGAGGGTGCCGACGTCATTTTCTTTTTGTACCTGTCCATTGTATTTTGCTTGGGTTTTCCTATCTTACCTTATGCCCTCTCATTTTATTGGCATTTTCTCCTTAGGCCCCTGCATTTTATTTTATTTTTTTAGGTGCCTCACCCCCCCCCTGGCAACAGACGAGGGTCAAAATTTCGATGCCTCCCCCCCAAAAAAAAAATCGCCTTATAAAAATGTTTGTTTGACAGGGCCCGGCGCCAAATCTGGACCTTGGGCCTTTTGGCCCCCAAACCCAGAACCCAGAACCCAAAACCATTGAAGTATTGCTTTTTTGAGGGTGTCCGAAAATATTCTTATCTCTTCTCTCCATTTTCTTGCCTTCTCCAAATTCTCCGATTGATAGAAGAAAAAATGTCCAATCTGCTGGGTTTCACACATGTTTTTGATATGGAAACATCGTTGTTCCTATGGTATTTGCTTTGGATCATGTTGTGCATTCCAAACATTTCTACCCCAAATATTCTAAGTTTTTTTTCCCATCGACATCCGAAGGGTTGAACAAATGATATTCTATTTAGGCGGCAATGCTTATATATATATATAATAATATATATATACTGTATATATATATAATTATAGATATTTATATGTGAATATATATATATATATGTATATCACTTCCAATGGTGAGCTGAGCCACCCTGACGTCTGAATCAAGGCCACCTCAAGGCGAGAGTGGACACGTGAGCCGCGTGAGGCGCTTAGTCCAGAGCGCCTTGGCTTCGAAAGCGGCTCAAGGACAGTGAAATGATGGTACCCTCTGGTAAACATAGAAAAAGCTATGGACAATCACCATTTGCAATAGGTAAATTAACTATGGCAATTTTCAATAGCGAACTGTTAAATTACCGGAGGGTAAATGATAGAATAGGCCATTTATCAACTAAAGATTGTTTTTATATCTGCTAAAGCTATTGGAGCTAAAAATCGCTAAAAGATGCGCCATGTGGATCCATTTGGGGATTTTTTTTGGGTGATGTTTTAATTTTTGGGCTGGCCTTAAGCAAATCCAAAGCATTTAATCATATTTAATCACTGAACTGACCAGTGCTCCCTGTTGAGCAACTTTTTTTCGGTAACTAGATCCTTTTTGATGACATGCCCGGTATGCCAAAGTAGCCTGTGATTCGGTCCCGTCATTGACACGCAACATTCATATGTATGATATATATATATAACAGAACACACACACACACACCTATATATATATATTCAATATACAATATACATATATATATATACACAATATTCATATAATTCAGGCATTGCTGGATAGAATTTCCAAGTCTATACCTTTGCTATCGTTTGTTGCTGAAATATCTTGGTAAAAAACAATTCAAACTATCCCAAGAGTGGCCGCCACTGGCCATGGTCATCCTGGTCATGGTGAGGCCGTGGCTTCAACGGCTTTATCGCATTGTTGGTATTCGTTGATGGCTGGACCATATGTCTTGATGCTGATGCACGTGCACGTGCCTTGGCCACACCTGCCTGGGCTCAGATTGTCTCGATTTTCTGCTTGGTTCTCTATACCTTTGAGCTAGCCTTGAAGCTGGCGGTTGGATTCGGACTTTGGGGTCAGAAACTGAACCTCTTCATCATTCTGACCGGATATTTGGAGATCATCCTGAGCCTGTCAGCGAATCCTTCGGTCCTCCTGAGCGTGCTGCGTGCCGTGCGTTGCGTGCGGATCATCAAGCTCCTGGCATCGCTTCGTGACGCAGGGCTAAGCAGCTTGACCCAGCTGGAGAACATCATGTTGCTGTGCATGAAGGACTCAGTCGGGGAGGCGCCAGATTATCTTTTTGTGATAACATAATCCCAGGTTCAAGATGCAGTGTAAGGGATCTCCACTGCCATCTTAGATGTTGGACGGCACATTGAAGATACGCGTAATGCATAGAAATCTTCCAAGCGGATCACAAAAGCTTCAGCTGCAGCAACTCTTGATGAAGCGAGGCATTGTTCGGGGCTAAAACCACCAATCACCTGCTAACTTCAGGGTTCAATCCCCAGTCCCTCACTAGTCTCCCTGCCTGGAGAGGTGCAGTGAGACATCATCGTCAGCGTTTACTCATCACCATGATAGGACATTAGGATTTTCCTCCTCCTCCTCATCATCATCGTCATCATCGTCGTCATCATCATCGTCGTCGTCATCATCATCATCATCGTCATCATCATCATCATCATCATCATCGTCATCGTCATCGTCATCATCATCATCATCATCATCATCATCATCATCGTCATCGTCATCGTCATCGTCGTCGTCGTCGTCGTCATCATCATCATCATCATCGTCATCGCCATCATCATCATCATCATCATCATCACCATCATCAAACAACATCAATCATCATCAATCATCATCATCACCACCACCATCATCCTCATCTTCATCAGCATCATCAGTAGCCTCAGTAGCAATAGTAGAAGCATTAGCATGCAGTAGCTTCACATATCAGAACTTATGCGTGCATGTTTGTTTAAGTGGGCATCTTGACAAAGCACCAGTTTAATTTGAACCTTTCACACCGTTCATGTTTTACTTGGCTAGCAAATGGACCGATATGGGCTGTATACATTGGAAGCTGTCATTAATTAGGGCATGGCAGGATTGATGAAGGTTCAAAATGCCCCTACTTCCTTAGATGAAAAAAATGTAGCGCACAATTTTGTGCGTCGGCTGCATATTGGGCAAAATATTGAACCTCTCAAGGCACACATAAAAGATGAGATTGCTAATTGTAGGTATGCCCCTTCTTTCCCTGTAGATTTTTAAGTCTAGGGGTTGGGAAAGGCCACGGGGCTTCAATTCATGTGCAATTAAAATGTGCGAGTGTGTCGTGGAAAGTGCGATGTTCATACTCAAATCCAAAAAATCTGAAATTTCCTTGAAAAAACTCAAGCGTGATTTCAGCGTGAAAAGTGGTGAACAACCTGTGATTTCACCGTGAAAGTGCGTGAACAACTTGTGATTTTGGAGTCGCCAATAATTTTTTTTTTTTACAAAATGATTCTTCAATCGTGAATTTATTCAGTAGCCAGTGGTTCATAGCCAACACTGTTACTGATCCGGGGGACCATGAACGTGCAAGAGTCTCTCCGGAAAGCGCGAGAAAGGGCACTCAGGGCCAAAACTGAAGTCAATGGTTCTGATGAGTCAAGGCCCCAAGGTCACTTATGAATGATATGTTTTTTATCATTTTTTATCCTTCTAGTTTCTCCATGGTATATGTATAAAGGTTCTTGCTTCCGGGACGTTTGTGCTGATACTGTAGTGGTTGGTGGATATTTTAGGGGTTCTACTGGGGTATATATATATATATATCTCTCTCTCTCTCTCTCAATACATATCCATTCTATATCATTTTTCAGGGGTCAAGTGAAAAGGGTACTTTCAGTGAATCATGTACTTTCTAGAACGTGCAAGTTTAACTGGGCACCTTGGAAGTTCAGGGTATTGACGCAGCACTTTCGTGAGCGTTGCTTTCAACCGCAGGCCCGAGCATGGGAACTCTGTTTCAAACCTTAGATGTAGGGAAGGCCCGTTGCACTGACATGCGCTGAACAAAGGCAGATAGGAAGATATGTGGAAATAAATATTGGCTAAGATGATCTATGAGGATTTTATATCCAGTTGAGATAGATTGGATGTTGTGGATATTCCTCTTAGAGAAGTCCTGGCCTCCCGTCACCGTTCCTAAAAACCACAGAAACGATGCAGCTAAAACCCACGCTGCGGGAAACAACCTGCCCTTCCCCTCACATAAAAAACTCATCTAAAGGATGTGCAGTGTTGCAAACGCCTGAAGGACCTTTTCTGGTCTTCGTGTTTGTGCTTCCTGATCATGACTTCCTTTGCGTATCTATTCGTTGAGATCATTAATCCTTTGTATCAATCAACGGACGTGGACTTCCCTGTGTGTGAGCGCTGCCATCGGGCAACCTCTTCCATTATGGATGCGAACCTCTTCTTGTTCCAGACGGTCGTCGTTGGCGACAACTGGGGAGAGGTGGCTCTTCCTGTGATCAACAACTTTCCTGGGTCTGCAGCGCTACTCATCGGGGCCTACTTGACCATCGTCTTTGGACTTCTGAACTTGATCATCGCCGTGGTGGATGCTAAGCCCGGTCTTAGGGACGTTTCCCATTTCCCCCCCCCTCTTGTGATCTAACATGCCAACGGACAACCCCCTGTTTCTATATTACTAGATAAAGATAGAGAGAGGGGTCAACTTAGTTAACTTCCATGCACTCTCCGGCCATGGGAGCTTGACCTCAAAATATGGCCAACCCGGCCACAAATGAACAAAGGGAAAACACCACAGCTGCTTCAGGATGTTTATTGTCTCAATTTGTAGTTTGGCCTTGCCTTAACTAATCTGGTCATATCTGGTCGGCTAAAAGCCTTCAACGGCTCGGATGTGACCAAGGTCAACTCTTTTCAGAACATCCAGCAAGGAGAAGAGGCAGACGAGCTGGAAGCGGATGAGAATCTGGGCGGAAGGGAGTATTCTCGGCAGTCGAGGGGCCGTAGTAACCGTAGTACGGTACGGATCCGTTTTGATACCCTTTGGTGATCTTTGAGTTTGCTATGGAAATGGCGGGTAGATGCGGGTAGCAAATCATGATTTACCGTGATTTAGCTAATAACGGTGATTTTCCAGTTCGCGGTGTGAAATTACCAGAGGGTAAATGTCCAAGTTGCTGAGAAAAGGGTAGCACAGCGCGTAGATCAGTAGGACAGCAGATGAGTAGATTTGGCCCTCCTACATATACAAAATATATTAAAATATGATTGCGGCAGCTTAGAAGCTTGCTTTGCTCATAAGTCCAGGTCCAAGGCATTCCTACCACATCAAGTCTTCAGGGCTAAGCAGCAAAGTGAAGGTGACATCCCTGTCCTTTCTGTGGTACCAATGGTTGTCCAAGACATCCTCGGTGCCTAGGACATCTTTACAGAAGATCTTTCAGGAGATCGACGTGCAGGGCGATGGGAAGTTGAACTATGAAAACTTCCTGGAAGGAGTGAGCCATGGGGCTTTCCACAGTCATGGGTGTACTCCAATAGCTGGGTGGTTCATGTTTATAATGGAACATGCGAAAATAAAATTGATGATTTTGAGGTACCCCCCATTTTAGGAAATCTCCGCGTGAGGGAAGGGTGACACAAAGAGTGCGAAGGGCTCTGTGAGTTTTGAGGCAGAATCTGTAACTTCTCGGGTCCCAGGAGCTGCGAAAAACCCCGACTTCAAGGGCCGCCTGGGACTCTTGAACATCAAGCAAGGTGGGGCAATGAGAGTCGCAGGATCTTGCTTCAGAGCCTTGTAAACCTATAGATGAACTAATTTAACTATCCTCTTAAGACAGTCAACCAAGAGGGTCAGAGGCCTCCCGGCTCTTCGACACGGCCGGAAATCCAAGAGACGTATTTGGGGTGTTTTTTTGATGATTTTTGATGTGTTAGTCGTCCCAACTGTCTCCATCATCAAAGCTAGAGCCTACCGCCGTCTTTGCATCACCTAGTGGTGATGCCAGCAACAGCGATGATATACGCTCATGATGTTTGTGATGGTCCAGCCTTGCCCAGATGACCTGCGGGATCTCTTCCAGCGGATGGATGTTGATGGCAAACAGCTGATCAATGCTCAGCAGTTTAGCCGCGTACTGAGATCCTACAACCGACATGGCAAGTGCCTTGGTGTACAATTATTGGTGGGTTCTTTCAAAGATTTTTCCCCAGAATTTCTTGAAATGAAGCAGGCACCTTGACCATCCTTGACCGCTTGAGTTGATAATTGGGGTCCCCCCAAACTTGGCAGTGCTGTTACTCCAAGGATGCAGGTCATGACCTGCATCCTTGGAGGTACCCAATAAGCGCGCCAGGTATGACATCGTACGTTGCATTCTGCGGCAAGAAGATTTGGCAGTAGCGATAGACACTGGTTTCAGCAGGCTCACTGATCGAATGGATGCTTGGTGGACGTCACGCTGGAGAATCCTAAATACTCTCTGGTAAACTATCATAGCTATTGAACATGTCAATTTATAGTGGATTTATTTACCCATTAAAAATAGTGATTTTCCATAGCTATGTTAGTTTACCAGAGGGTAAATATGTTTTGCACATGTTTAGGTGCTCCTAGCCTGGCCGTAAACGGCCCGAACTGTCATCACGAAGTGTGCTCAGTTACGCTGCCCAGTTCGCAATGCCCTAAGGACAATCTTTCTTACAAGGCATGGTCGCATTGAACATCGCAGGAAATCAAGTCTGATCCAACATGATCCAACTTGAAACTTCGATACAAAATGAATCAAAATGATACAAAACATAACGACGTCACTCAGAAAATATTTCAGCTTCGGGAATGAGTGCATTTCATGCAGATAAAATAACAACTTATGACCCAGGAAACTGCAGGATCAATCAATGTGTTTGTCAGGTCTTCGTACAGGGAGGTCAAATATAATCAAACCATTCATGGGAAGTGCAACTATTCAGGGCTCTGGGTGCTGAGGGCCAAGATTGAATCTCACGCAATCAACAGGCAGGGAATCCAAAATTTGATCCCAGTGCAGTGCAACTTGTTCAATATCTTCAAAAGATTCTTTTTCTTTGGAGAGACTTGCTCAGCCTTTAAAAAACAGATCAACACTAATTATCGATTGAAGCTGGTCGTTGAAGGCCTATGTCTGAACTACCGTAGCCCTGACAGGGAAGTGATGTGAGTTGCCGCGCCAATTAAACGATGCAATGGCTCTGGACACCGCAAATAGGTATCCGAGGCCCAAAACAATCAAAATACCCCCGGATTTCCTCAGGATTATTCTTCTAAATAATTGATTTAGAGGTACTTACGAATAGATACGAAGAATAATAATTAGGAAAATTATTTATCTAATATTTTTGTCTTTTACAAAAATAATCAAATATATATATCTCATATTTTGCTTTTACCTTAAATTTATTATTTTATAAAATCGGATATATATATATATATATTAATATTCTATATTTATATATCATATATTATCATATTGTATTATATTTATGTTTTATTTTAATTATATTTATATATTTATTTATTATATCTATAAAATGTTATTTTTATATATACCAATACCCTCCAATAATATATTTATTTGTGTATTGATTTTATTTTGCTCGTACTGTGGATTTTCGCT